ACAATTATTAATTATTAATGACATTTCGGTACGTTTCCAGCTTCAGCTGTTGGCTGAGCATGCGAAATGTGCGACTTGAACGACAACTTTGAGCTTTAGCAAAAGCTTTCTTTTCGTAATATCTGTTTGTAGCACAAGTAAAATGCATTTTAACAATTATGCATAATGAAGCTGTACTGCTCAAAGCGAAGTCTCCTGAAAGCTGCCCATGTGTGGCCGTGACATAGCTCGGGGGGTTTGTCGCTGGCTTCCTACCGCGGCAGCCCGGGTTCGAGCCCTGGTCAGGCCATGTGGGATTTATGGTGCACAAAGTGGCACTGGGGCAGGTTTTCTCCGAGCACTTCGGTTTCCCCTGTCAATTTTGATTCCACCGATTGCTCCACATCATCATCATCTGTCATCTGTGGCTGGTGCAGTAGACCAAACATTCGCCGCAGCACCAAGTGGACTCAGTCTCATGCCATAAGAAAAAATACAAAATAAAAATTAGCTGCCCATGTCCTGAGAGTTAGGAGGTATAGGTCCACCGTTGAGCATGAATGAGCATGTGGCACGAATGGGGGAGGAAAGGAATGCATATAGGATATTGGTAGGAAAGCCAGAAGGAAAGAAACCACTGGGAAGACCAAGGCGTAAGTGGGTGGACAATATTAAAATGGATATTACAGAGATAGGATGGGATGGTATGGATTGGATTGATCTGGTTCAGGATAGGGACCAGTGGAAGGCTCATGTGAGCACGGTAAGGAACCTTTGGGTTCCATAAAATGCTGGGAAGTTCTTGAGTAGCTGCAGATTTGGCTTCTCCTCATGAAGGGCTCAGCTCCATAAGCAAGTAAGTAAGGTCCACCAGTGAGGCGAGTTGACAGCCTCACTCCTGTTGCTTACATCTGGGGAAGCGACCCGCATACCCACTGTACTGGAGACTGGGTCGGTATCAGAGCCAGTTTCAAGTTGTCCCTGTGCTTAACTACTTAAGCATTATGCCATGAAGGTGTATGGGGGAATGGATGTATAGATCCATATTTTCTTGACCTCGGCACTAGTTGCAGGTGAGTGGTCAGCTTCACGCCCCTGCCACTTCACCCCCCTCCCCAGAGAAAGAGCCCCCGGTACATTGGATAGGAGGTTGGGTGGACCCCAGAGCCTGTGCGGGTGACGTGGAGAAGAGAAAATTCTTTCCCCCACCAGGACTCAAACCGCTTGGCTGTCCAGCCCACAGGCAGTCACTATCCCGACTGCGCTACACCAGCTCTGTAGAAATGAAAACAATCTCTTGTGCCTGGCAGGAATCAGACCCTTACAGCTCAATCATCAAACCCACAATTTAGTTGGTATACCGACTGATCTATTCCGGCTTGCTAAATTGTTAATATGTCAATGTAAAGATGTAACATACTTTCCAACATAAACCCTGACAAATATTAGAGGTCATAGGGGTTACTTTTAAGCACACGGACGTTGAAGTTGCTGCCATTCCATACAAGCATACATTGCATCACCAGACACAAGGAAACCATTGGCTCCATAAAGTTAACATACATTCTGCGAACTTTTGCATGTTGAACCTCTTGGTTACAGTACCACACACGTGACACTGTTAATAACACCATCACGTAAGCTGAATAGAAAACAGTATGAGAATTATGTGGTAATGGTCACTTTCTTATTGAATGTAAAGGCAAAATGTACCATAAAACACAACAGTAATTGAAAGAACCAATTTATTTATATCATTTTACTATAACACAGCTCGCTTCAGTAACATTCTCCATTCTTGAGATTTCTTCTAGTTAGCAAGGCTGAAGCACTGAAGTGATTCGCACTTTGCTGTCCATGATGGAAAACAAGCAGCTCTCACTGTATTCCATGCTCGTTTATAGTCATCTGACAAGTTCTTCAACTGTCTGTAAGGTATCTTAACCAAGCACTGTTCAATCTCTGTAAGATCACTCATCTTCAGAACTGTGGGCAGATGCAAAGCAGCAGCAGGCATCAATAACACCGCATTCACAAACTGCCGGAGAAGTTCTTTCTTGCAGATGAACAGTCGCCCTGCTGATGTGTGGGCAACTTTCTTCGTTATGCCCTGTTTTTTCCCCTCCACAGCCACTTCTAAAGCTCTGCAAAAAACATAATAAAACATCACTTGGTCTCTTCTGGTAACAACAGTAACAAACCCATCAGACTCCATGCTACATGCATATTCACTCATGCCTGTGCTGAGACTGATGCCTTCTTGGGGGATCAGCCATGTCAAAATGGACTGAGAAGACTTCACTGCATCCAGTCACCATGAAAGCTTAAAATCTTACATGAAGACTAATTCTTACTCTGTCATGCATCCTTCAGCCACAGTAAATTTATATTTCCCAATGTCACTGCCTCACTATTTGTGTCATAATGAATTCTGTGTGTGAAGAGCACCACATAAATTTGCACTGACTGAGACAACCTGCAAACTTTAACAGCAGTGGACATGTGCTTCTTTAGATTAGGGTGTCTTCAGACGTGACGCTATACAGTTTGGTGGACAGGTAAAGCTGCTGCCTCCAACCTGTTCTAAACACTCACTACTTTTGAAAAACAGATCTAATCTAAATAAAAAAGAATAAGAACAAAATAAATAAATAGATAAATAAAAAATACATTTGATTTCTTTATTGCTAGTGGGGCAGGATAAGTCCCTTGTACTGCGGCCACTTCTGGCCTATTGTACCAGCCCCAGATGACAGGTGAGGGTGATTGTGGAGCAATTGGTGGAATGAAGATTGGCAGGGGAAACCGAAGTACTTGGAGAAAACCTGCCCCAGCGCCACTTTATCCACCACAAATCCCACTTGACCAGACCCGGGATCGAACCCGGGCCGCTGCGGTGGAAAGCCAGCGACTAACCGCTTGAGCTATGGTGCGGCCTTTGTTTATGATTACTTTTTCACTTTTCCATTATTTTTGTTTGCAGAAGAAATTAACCTTTGTACATATAAATAAGGAGAAATACATTTTACAACCTATAATAACCTATTATAATAATAACCTATAATAACCTATAATTAACCTATAATAAAACTGATTAAATACAAAAATTTGCAATATGTTAATTAAAAAGCAAGTGATAACTGTGAAGTGTCACCGCGAAACAGTTTACTCACTCTACAACAATTGCAGGTAACTTGTAGGAAGATTTGTTATAATTTAGGGACATTTTGAAATTTCTTAATTAAATTTATACACAAATTCAAATATGCCAGTGGGTTAATTTCATGTAGCATTTTCTTTTTATATTTCATTCCATTTTGCTCACCACCTCACCAACCAAGAACTGTGTGTGTGTGTGTGTGTGTGTGCAAAAATACAGCAAACAAATTAATATATTCTAAAGGGTTCTGACAGTGTGTAATACTCAGAATTACTGGGTTTTTGGACTTTGTCCATCATCCAGCATTGTAGAAAATAGAAAACACAACATTTGGGGAACTGGAAACTGATGGACAAATTCCTCTGTACTTTTTTAAGTAATGATTTGCTCTGTTTCATTAATACTTTTGATTGACTTTGCTCTTTAACAACAGCAAAAATCTGCTTCCAGCTCTGAATCCTTACCTTTGTGGTACCTTACACCACACAATGCTAGATGCACAAGGCTGCTTCACCCCATTAGGCATTGGGGCATGTTTAAAGGGCAAAGTTGACTGTAGAATCAAGGGATAATGAACTCCATATTTTGATGGCAAAGACAGACCTTCACTGAGTGAGGAACCTCGATCCATTTCCTTGTCTTCTGACGAATTCTTCCTCCCATTAGGTTGGTAAATCAGCCGATCAATGATGGCTCTTTTAAGGGACATCTCTGAAAATGGACCTCCACCACCCACAATCACTGACTGAAAGTAGAGAGGTTCATTTAATAGGAGCGACAATAATGCTCCTTGTAGTCCAACCACATTCCACCTTGCAAACTTATCACTACACGAGAGAGACTGTGTTGGCTCTCCACGACCAGGCTTGGTTCTCAAAGCTCCCACGACATGGTAGTAGGCTCCTGGTAGGTGTGAATCTTGGAGTGACTGAAATGGAAGGCACTTTGCACCTGTTCTGTAGATGTCACCACTGACAGGTACTTCTGGCCTTTGCACATTATTATTCATGACTGATCTCTCTTTGCCACTACACATATTTGCTCTTCCAGCACTCGAATTTGCTTTCATATACTTGGAATCATTCTCTTCATCACACCATTCAATGTTGCAACATTTCCTTTTATTGCAATTTGCTTGTCTACTAACATTGCACTCTTCTCCTTGCATTGTCTGCACTGCCATTTCACTTGCCGCATTTCCACGACTGAAATTACAGTTTAAATGTTCTGTTGGAGCCGAAACACAGAGACATGTGGAATGTCTAGCGTGACACTGCACCGACTGCTCAGTGCCACATTTCAAACACAAACCCACGTCATTCTCGGAGAAAGGAACTTTAGGAATAATGGATGCGTCCCCACAAGGCACATGGCTTGTGAAAAAATGGAATGTAATGTTATTCTTAACCACACATTTGCCACCAGAAAAACACTTGAATATTTCTGATGAGCCAGTCTGGTAAGTCATAAGTACCTGGTCATACAGGTATCGAAGGAAACCCCTTCGAGCCATCACTTCTGCATGGCTGTCATTTAAAATATCTCCTGTTGGACTCATTTTGGATTTCCCAATGCACTTAGAGCCTGTGCCTAATGCAACAACATACTTTGGTACATTACTTGAACGGTCAGAACGTCTCTGCCAGCCATCTGCTACTACAATTCCCGCCACATGCGTCCACTCTCTTCCTTCCTTAGGTTTTCCTGTTTTGGGGAGGTTCATGTATTTGGAATAACACAATTCTGCTATCTCATTAGCAAAGTTCGTGTCCATATCGGATTCCACACTTTTTGCACTTTTATTTATATCAGTACTCTGTTCCATTTTCTTTAACATTCCGTAGAGTCCATACGGCATACACCATGAAGTAAGGGAACTGGGAAAATCAGAATTATTTTAAAACAAAAGTAATTTTCTAATTTATCGTGAAAATGTTATCCACTGTGAAGAAATGGTGCGGTTAGAGCACTGGTGTGGGGTCCCAGGCATACTTCTCCACAACCGGTATACTATTCAGCGTAACCATATCACTCTCAGAAATGATGAAATCCAGCTTTATGTTATCGGAAATGTGGTCTGGGCTCACAGATTTTGGAATGACACCTGAAACAGGATCACATCTGTTAACTTACAATCTGCACCACAGTGAAATACTTGGCTATTGTTATTTCATTCAAAAACCTTAAACGGGGTTCACTGTAATCTAAAATTCAGATCCTTCCTGTATTATGTAAGGTGAGAAAGTGAAAAGCTGCATTCATTGGTCTTATAAGTGGTATTCTTCATGATGCTTCCCTATCAAAATACTGCAAGTTTCTTATTTCTGTCATGCAACCAGCCTTAATTTAATTGCAATAACAACACTACAAGAGTATATAACCTTATATAATGTTTGCTATGCCCCAGCAATTTCTTCTGTCTTACACCCAAATCTGGGGCATGAGGCAGTTGTTGAGGCATTACACCAAAAACTGGAAGGTCATGGGTTTGATTCCTGATGAGGTCAGTGAATTTTTCAATTGACTTAATCCTTCCAGCAGCACTATGGCCCTGGGGTTGACTCTGCCCCTAACAGGAATGAGTACCAGGAATCTTCGTGGGGGTAAATGGCGGCAGGTGCATAAGGCTGACAACCTTACTGCCATCTGTGAGCCAACTGTATAGAAAATGTGGGAGCCTCGACATATCACAACCTTATGGGCCTTCACCAACTGTTACAGGAGAGCTTTAACTTTACTTTTTGCACCCAAAATCTGCAAAAAAGTGGCGACATACCTGTATTCTCACAGACAAAACAAAAGTGGCCTCAAGGAGCCATTTTGAAGTTTTAAACTCAATCAAGTGCATGGGAATGAAAATGCTGAACTGATGCTCAGTGATGAACTTACCAATGCCTTGCTGTAAAGCCCAACATAACAACACCTGCGCTGGAGACCGATCAAGTTTCTTGGCAACGGCTCCTACCGTAGCATCTTCCAACAGACGCCGGTCTGAGGAGCCCCCAAGTGAGCAGTAAGCTTGCAACAGAATACCTCGATCTTGGCAGAACTTCAGCAATTCAGGCTGTTTGTAGTGAGGATGATATTCAACCTAAATAAATTTATTTAAATGTGAAACATATATCTACCCACATAACGAACATTTCAAGGACCTGGTATGCAACCAAGATCAGAAAACTGCATTCTTGTGTGATTGAGCTTTCAATAATATTTTAAATTACACTCAGCAATTAACTAATAAGTCTTGTTTCATTAACTGGGACATGACCTCTTAGAGGGCATGTCAAGGTCACAAAAAGAGAAATGAACTGAAAGTGCACCAAACATGCAGTCAGCAGTTAGTTCAGTCTGGATGAAGACAAGGACAGCAACAGTCCTAGCCAGCAGGTGTAGTGAAAACCTTCTGGTCATCACAGAATCATGTGTTGTGACACTGCATATTATGGGAGGTGGTACAAATGTTTTGGAGGAACATACTTCCTCCATCTTCATGGTTAAAATAAAACAAATGACTTCTACAATGAAAATGAAGGCGGTATGTTCATCCAAACTCACTTACCAGACTACAGTCTTCTGACCCTTTCCGTTTGGGCTCGGACTGTGTGGGGCCCCCCTATTTCATCCAACATAGAGCCTCTTTCATTTGTCAGAAATCATCATGACTGTAATGCACTGAGCAGTTCAGTTGCATTGCCTTACTCCAGGCAGTCATGGTTCCTTTCTTAGCCTTTGAAGTATTTTAGATACAACGTACCTGATTTACAGCAGGAATGACCCCGTGAGAATTTTCAATGAGCTCCTTTAGATGCTGCACAGTGTAATTGGATATCCCGATGGCACGCAACAGTCCTTGCCGATGCAGTGTCACCAACTCACGCCAAGTGTCTGAACGAATTATGGCATTATCAGGACTGTACACGGGTAACCTGGATACCCCTGGCCAGTGAACCAGGTACAGATCCACGTAGGAAGTACCGAGCTTCTTTAACGAACTTTTCACAGCCTTCGTAGTGGTACCCACTCCATGGTCACCTGGATCTTAGAAAAGAAAAACAAAAAGAGTTACTTTGATAGCACAAGTGACCTGTGTTCAGCTTCTTGATGACAATACTCAGACCTGCAGAATTGTCTGTTCTGTCAGGTAGGGCCAAAATGTAAACTAACCCACAGGAACACATTTCAAAATCAGGGTCTTATGAAAATATGGGGCAGAGATACTAATACACTGTCCCTGACATACAGCCCCATAGTAAAGGGGGGTTTAAAAACCCTTATTTCCAGGTAACAGATTCTTCTTACCCGATTTAAGGTCCAACTGCCAACCTTGTACTGGGGACTGGAAGTCCCATATTCCTGGATTGATAAGGGTTAAGTCCTATGTCCCTCACAACACAGTGACAGCCACATTGACAGTTCTAAATACGGGATTTAAGTGTACGCAGTTTCCCACAGAACTCAGGAAGGAAGCATTTTGAAACACTCTCATAGAGTCAAGTGCACCTTGAGAGCCAGCTCACCTATTCAAAATGTGTTTCTTAACCATCTGTGCTATAGATGAAAGTGCTGCGTTACCAATGCTTTCCATTTTCACTTTACAAAAGTCATTAGGAAAATGAAGGTCAAACAGCACTTGTGTGCCTATCAAGGAAAATCAGCATAGGTATATGCCCAGCTACCAATAAGGTATGACAGGCTGGCTCCCTGTTATAGACTTCATAGTAACTGGCAGTTCACAGCGTATTGTCAAAAATAAAACTTTAGTTACCAAGTTTTGTTGTCAAAAATATATCCTCCCTGGAGAGACTGAATTTTGGTAGCAGGGTCTTCAAAGCTAGCCCTATCGCTTCCTCATTTCGATAAACAGCAGCTGTGTCTGTAACACACAGAACTGCATAAATATATGTAAATATGATTGTTCTAAGGAACTACAACAATTGCAAGACTATTCTGCCACAAGAAAAATCATATAAATACATTCAACATCTTCAGCATATATCCATGTGAAGACATACTGCTGAGCTACAAGACCTGAAAGGTCGATGGTAACTATATGCACCACCTGTTTTAACATTAAGAAATTAATTCTACATTCTGTCCACATGGTGAATTTGTGTGTTTCATTTGATTCTCACAATAAACAGTGATCATTTCCCTAAAAATTAGGGAGATCTAGTGCTTTCTGAGATAGTAACTGAATTTTTAAATAATATTTGTAGATGAACTCTTGGCTTAAAGAATTAACCTTATCTAATCTGACCCACAAACATAGAATCTGAACATGTCAGTATAAATGCAGACATGATCCAACTATGTATTTTAACCTCGATACCACGAGTGTAAGATTCAGTGAGTGTACTTGCCTCAAAGCATTGTGCAAGTCATAGAGACACAAAAATGGTAACCACATTATATAGCTTTGCCAAAAGCAAACCACAGTACTTTGTATACTGAACAAGAATACTGAATTACAAATGGTTAATATCACAACTTTGTTATACATTTTCTTGCTAAGTTTGTGAAACTAAACTGAATAAAGTAATATGCACTTCCTACAAGTTTTCTGTGTGAATCTGAAGAAAATCATGGAAAACTATGCATGTAAGGGGAAAGAAAGAGTGTCTGTTGTACTCACCAAATGCTCTATAACCAGCCTTCAATCCAGCCTCAATAACTCTATGTATTACACTTTGGCCATGAATCCTGTATGTACCTACTGAAGTGAAATAAATTATTAATTTCAGTTTGAACATGACTTTGATTTCCAAACCTACAAGCCCTTCTGTATACTGCAACCCGATAATGTGGTCAATATAATAAAATGCAACCGCAATTAAAAAAATCAAATTACAATAAACTGAACCATAAAGTTATCTCTAACATCATTTAAAACTTATCACACTTTAACTAAATATTATTTACATAGTTATCCCTATCCTTACATCCAACCATTGGCATTTTCTGGCCAGTGTTCAATGTGAAGTACTGCTTCTGCACTGCCATTGACGAAATGTTGGAGTCCTGAAAATTGGAAATTCTGATTTAGAATATTCATAAAAAGCATACATAACCTACAAAAACAATTAGTATGTTCGAATGCCTATTATTTCTTCGCCCTCACCACGTGAGAAATCTATATTAAGAGTTATAAATGTATTTTATCTTACCAAACTCCCCCCGTTGTATTCACACGACAAGAGACACACATGAAACAACACAGCGCTGCAAATGGTGACCCTGTAATTAGTCCACTTTCGCTATTAAAATAAATTCCAAACTTCGATGTCTCCTTTGACGCTTCATGCAATGTAATTTAACTATAAATGTACGATACATTACACGTACTGAAAGAAAATATTACTATTCCAATACTGCCCATTTGCATGGCCCACTTTTAACGTAACATACCGTAACATACCCTGCAATCGGGTATGGGAATGATGGGAACTTATGTGGACATTTTAACGATTACGAAGTCTTTCGTGGCAGAACTCTTGATAATCTCTCGAATATACGTCCAGATTTAAACTATTAATTTCAGTCTTTATATAGTACTTCACAGTTACGAATTAAACATTAATCACAATCTACAACGATCCTCAATGATTCAAGGCAAAGTTGAATACCCAAGGTTCACCACACGACTGTGAACAAAAATAACTGTACTCGACTACAAAACGACGACATTACAGAATGTTACATTTATTAATAAAGTACAGAATATCTGTGAATATGTGGAGATTATATCAGAAAAACTGCTTTGAAAATAGGAAGTTTCCATTTAACTGACTATTTGGCCAATGCCAATGAGCCGGCTTACCCCCTACATGTCTCCGACAGAATTACACGTATGGGAAAAGACATGCAGGTGGTGCATGACAGTGAGGGCGAGGTGAGCTGAACACATGCTACTGAATGGAGCAGCCCAAATTGAGGAAACGGCAACGCAGTTGCTCCATTCAGTAACACGTGATTGGTCAGGCTGATAACAATTCTTGGAAATTGCGGTTGCGTTGCGGTTGACAGTTTCCTTGGTGTGCCCTCGCACTAACTTTTCGAATTAGTTTACTTTTCTTGTACATGAACTTGGAGGTTTAAATTGCACTTTTAATTTTACATGCTTCGTTAGAAAAGCAACACAGAAATATGCGTTTTCTTACGCTGTCAACCAACAAGATCCACTGAAGAACTTAAGCAACGAGGAATATTGTTGTCGACGACTGCAAAACGGTTGAGCAGTCGCTTCTGTGAAGGCCGTGTCACATCGCGTTATTACCAGGGCTGGAAATGACTTCTGAAGCCTAGGCATATGATTCAGACCAGTATAAACAGCCGGGAGAATGACCACGCAAGCTTATGCCACATCATTGGTCAGAGCGATAGTTAGGTGTACTAAGCCATTGGGAATACAGTGTTTCCCGGATACAAAAATTTCCGCTGTTAGAAGTTACATGTTTTAATTCCCGCCAGAACTCTTGCCTCCACTCACTCCACCATGTCTTCACGTCGTGATGCTCAAATAATTTAAACACACGGACGTTACCTTTTACTTTTACTTTCCGAATACAAGTCTAGGGCGTTTTTACCTCTAGACCGCTTTAGACTCTCCTGTTAGGTATTAATTAAGTTATACGTAGGCCGCGCCATAGCTCAAGCGGTTAGTCGCTGGCTTCCCGCGGCGGCCCGGGTTCATTTCATTTCATTTTATTATCATTCAACAATCCATACATACAGGTATTACAACCATTTGGTTAGGGAAATTGTCAGTTTTACATCTAATTCTCGTGCATATCTTTACAGTATACACTGTACCACCCTAATATATTGGGTTTGTCATCTGAATAATATTATCTAGATCTAGTTACCATTAATTTCATTGTCTTTACACAAATACAACAAATTAATCAGCTACATCCCGGGTCTCGTCAAGTGGGATTTATGGTGGACAAAGTGGCGCTGGGGCAGGTATTCTCCGAGTACTTCGGTTTCCCCTGCCAATCTTCATTCCACCAATCGCTCCACAATCACCCTCACCTATCATCTGGGGCTGGTACAATAGGCCAGAAGTGGCCGCAGTACAAGGGACTTAGTCCCACCCCACTAGCAACAAAAATAAATAAATAAATAAAATATAAAAAAAAAATTATGTGTACATTTTCCTAACTTGTTCATGCGCAGGTTCCAGGCATGACAGATCGATTAATGATGATGTAGGGCGGAGTATATGTCATGGTCTCTCTCAGTCCCTCATTGTAAAATGCTAAGACCACGACCGTTTCTTTCCTATTCATTATTCACCAATCACTCTACTGGTCACCCTCCCAATATGGTTAAGATGCTCTAGATTAGTGGTTCTCAACCTTTGTCAGAACGCGGTCAGGTAAATTCTTTTTTCTTTAAGACGAGGGCCCGGTATAACCGATGCGAGGTCCTGGTACAGGGCCACGGCCCGGCGATTGAGAAACACTGGTCTAGATCAGTCTAGATCGTCTAGATCCACAAAAGAGAGTGACATTACTGACCGAGTTACCGACGCCGCTCAAAATACTACGAACCTTAGGTCACAGATGGCATCAATGCCTACAGGCCGCTATTCCGAGCTGCGGGGGCCGGTTATTCCGGTGACTGACTTCGGCAGTTCGGCAGTTCGGCAGTTTCCATTCAGGCAGGTCGGTGTTGGTTTTAAGAGGCGTTAGTATATGTAACATGGCGGTGTGGTAGTTTGGAAACAATGTATCAGATTCCACATCCGTCCAAGCAGGATCAGCGCGCAATAATTCAGTTTTTGGGTGCAGAGGGTTGTCAGCCGGCGAAGATTTATCAGAGGATGCAGGCAGTGTATGGAAATGCATGTGTGTCCAAGACAACCGTGAATGCCTGGTGTAGGCATTTCCGCCAGGGTCGGCAGTCCACTGCTGATTTAGCGAGGCCAGGTGCTTCGCGTTTCGCTACGACGCCCGCAAATATTGCAGCTGTGGAAGCATTAATACGAGGCGAAAGACGTCTGTCCATTAGGGCCATAGCAGCGGACCTAAACATCAGTGTAGGAACTGTGCATTCCATAATTCAGAATTTGGGGTACATACTTAGATTATGTTGAAAAAGCACAATTCGTTGTGGACTTCTGGTTCAGATTCTGGATCTGTTTTTCTGTACTGTCTACGCTACGAGCGGCAGTGCGTGACCCGCAGAAAATAGACAGTAAAGCATGTTTCTCAGACTGTGGTAGTGGTAGCCTAGGGGTTCCCAAAGCAGTTTCTAGAGAACCATAAATATTTTCAGTATTCCCGTTGGAAACTGTTATCCATGGGTGTTAATTTGAAGCAGTTCAGAATAAGCATGTACAAATGACAGGAAGATAATAATTGTTTATTTGTGTTATAGGAGCTTTACATTGTGTATTTACCCAGTTTTATGATTTTGAGAACGGCCCTTTGTATCAGTCGCAAAAAGTTTGAGAAGCGTTGTACTATGGGGTGCTGAGTTGTACAACATATAGGAGGAAATATAGGCGGGCTAGTGGGGGTGTATTACGAAGAACTGCTATAGGGAAGCATGCAGATATGTAAAAAAGACTTTGACCCACAGAATTTGCAAATAATTTATATTATATTGATGGAAAACATTGTGGGGCAAAAATAAACATCAGTAAGATGAAAGGTAAAGGAGGTTGCCTGAATAGTACTGTGTACATGGTGTTATCTGACAGTGGCTGTGGAGGGAAGGCTCCACATTTTTGGGGTAAAATGGTCAGTATCGTGATCAGCCTGCCTGATGAACTGACGATCGTAGTACCCCATGTCAGTGATGCCTCAGATGAGAATGTCATACACATTCTTAACCGTAATTATGTAAGTGTATGTTCGTTCTGAAGTCTGCCGCTGTAATAGGTTTAGTTCTGGAAGCTGTATCCTGCAAATTGCTTGAAACTGTTTATGGTTGGATTGCCTGTACTTGGGAGGGCAGCCTCTGAGTTGTGATAATGATTCTTGCTGATGATAAAACAAATGGCCATACTCCAGGCAGAATTCAAACAGCTGATTCCATTATGTGCCCTTGCAGTTTATTGGAAATTAATCAAATTGCACATGTAAATAGGACATATGCACAGGATTTACTAAGGGAAAGGATGGAATCAAATTAAAATAGAATCACCTCTGGTGGAGTCAAAAAATTTATTATAGATTTTGATCAGTTAACAATATTGTGATTGCCTCGGGTAGTCTGTAATGGTACAGAATTTGTTGTAAAGTGAAATGTTTTTGTTTCAGAATAGTGAACAGCTTGAAGAGGAAAGGAAAGCAGAATTCATGGAAACAAAGAGATGATGAAGAAACTAGGATGCCATCAAAAGCCAAAAAGGTACATTTTTGCTCTTCCTTTGAATGATATGTCTAGAATAAACATTTGCTTACCTCAGAGAATCATGTAGGCAACAGACGACTATTTGTGCGCAGTGAGACTGTGCTGGTCCGTTAGTGTGCGTTTGGCGGTAGTTGCAGTGAGGCAGTAGCAGCTCTGTTACTCCGCGTGTCTCGTCATGGCTGGTTTGCCTTTTGGCCATGGTGATGCACACACAAAAGGGTGAGATAGTTTACATAGGTTTACAAAAGGAGGTAAACAAAAGCATTTGCTTCATATTATAATCCCTGGATTGGAAACAAAGGCACTATAGCATGCTGAGTGTAATTCGGACTGATGACTCTGATATGCTCTTCTCTAAACATAAATATAATACGTTTTTCTAGTTACACACGAGTAAGCTGTAATTATTCCTTCGTAACAGTTCTAACCACTGTATGCTGTGACACTGGTGAGCGAAGTGGCCGCTCTGTATAGCCTGGACAAGGAACGGGTGCCGAGCACACACTTACAGTTATATTTTCTTTGAGCAGGTTGAGCCGTTTGATGAAGTTATGATTAAACAAGAGCCTCTGGATGAAGTGTCTTCAGACTCGAACTGTCTGCTTCCTGAAGTCAGCGTGAAGCACGAAATGGATGACCCGATAGCTGTATAGCAGAGAAACTCTGACGACAGGTACAGGTCACACAAGTTTACACTCTCGATGTTTACAGAGGCGTGTAGGTGCGATAACATTGAAACAATTCAGGGCAGTGTTGAATGCACAGGCTTAATCTGCCTGCGAACTAAGCAAATCAGCAGTGTGACTTTCTAGTCGCTGTATGTCTGCTTAGCGTTGTCCTGACTGTGCAGAATAATCACCTGTACAGATTATCATCAGTTACCTTCCATAGTGGTTCACAGTACATAACAGAGATTGCAATTTTGAATGAAGCCACGTCTTTAAACTGTCTCGCCACGAACGAAATGCAGTACAGCCTCGATAATCCGAACTAGTGAAGGCACTGGTGAGTTCAGAATATCGATTTGTTTGGATTGCTGCATTTCAAACAAAATTATAATTTTTAGTGAAATTATTTATTCAAATGATTTATAGGTTCATATTATACATTCACAACTGGATCACATAAATGTTTTCACTTCATGCTGGACTCCACGTAGAGAGGCAGGTCTGTTATCACTTATCATGTTTCACAGTAATTCATTTTTTCTGAAATTAAGTAAAATAATTTTATTAAATTATGTCTATTGACAGCAGTTCCTCCGCCTGTCTGGCACTGTGTTGCTGTATTCGCTCCTCTGCCAGAACCTTTGAATACTTGAATCAATTTCTCCCCAGACTTCGATTATGGCTGAAATTTGTAGTCTGGTGTTGTTTTGTTCATTATTTCTTGGCTCTTAATATTTACAGCAAAGTAATATTCCTGCAGGATATGTAGTGACACGAGGGATGTCCAAAGCATGCATGTACATGTATCACAGTACAGTAATTGTTTTGCTTTTCTGCTTGTGCCACCATTCCTGTTCATGATTTTGGACATCCGAAATATGATTGTGAATAACTATCATAAATCCCATTCATTGAGAGAAGGCATCAGATTTTAATTAACGCACTGATATCGAAACTTACCTATATTACTTTCTCTTTCAGAGCTTCCAATGCCAGGAGTGCCCAGAACAAATTGTTTGTTTACCTTTTAGTTTGACTGCCTCAGGAAGATTCGCCGGTCATCCAGCTCTGTCCGGAGGATGTGAAGCCGTCCAGCTGTCCGCTTGTCTCTTACACAGTCCCATTGTTATTGTGATCATGCAGGAGTTGTTCACTGTCTGAAATACATAAAAACAAAAAATGTTTCTTTGAGCTTACATTAACAAGGCAGCAGAGTTGATGGCACTCTGCATAGTAGTCATGCAGCTTAAACAACAATTTTTACAGTATATTTTATAAAAACTTCTAACATTTAAGGCTGAAACATGGACTGTTAACGAGACGGGAACAAAATCAAAATTGAACCAATGCAGTTTTTCAGAAGCACTGAGGGGAAAACAAGAAAGGATAGAATATAAATGAAATTCTTAGAGAAGGTGGAATTCAGAGTTTGTGAACAGAGTTTGGCCATGTGAAGATATGGACAGAAAAATGGCGTAAGAATTAATATTTAAAGAAAGTGACATATTGAACAGTGAGACAGTTCATGCAATTTCTGCAAGTCAGGTAAGCACTATTCAAGCGTGAAGATTTTGCAGGGGTGCAAAAGAGACCCATGACTGGATACTGCCTGTCCACCAACCCATGCAAACATAAAGTGGTGCTGGAGGAAAAGGAACTTTATAGTTGAGACGGAACATCCCCATGAGACAACTGCTCTAGTCAATGTTTAGCATTGGCAAACTACAAAATGAAGGTATCCCAGCTCCACGCACTCTCTGTTTATTTATGGTTTATTTAATGATGCTGTAGTATACAATGTTAAGTGGTGGGTGACTGAAGAATAATTTGGAAAATTTATGGGAGGAAGTGGTCATAGCCTCATTTGAGGCTCTGTCCAGACAAAGAAAATTACAGAAACTCTCGGTCACGGTAGCCAGTCTTGGGACCAACATTTGACTGAGGCGTCTTGCCAATGCAGTCAGAAGTATTACTGCTTAAACCAGTTCAGTGTTACCGTTCTTAAGAAGGCGGCTGTCTCCTGGGATGTGATGCTAAGTCGTTCCATGGATACAAACCAACGTTTTGGAGGACTGTAACACGATAATCTTTATAGTCACTGCCGTGAGAACCTCAGATCTCTCTTCTCACTTTCACTTATGCACTTCACACAGTAATGGACCAGGAGTTATGTTTTTTTTTTTCACTCAAGTACTTTAGTGTCTAAAAGTTTGTGACTCATTGATTCACTGTACAAATACTGTGTTGGACATTGTTGATTGCTTGACACACATTACAGACTTTGAGAATGTTCCAGAGTTCCAGGTTCAGTAACAAGCATGGAGTTGCTTTACAAGCAAAGTAAAGTACCAGTTGCCAAAGGAGCACATCAGTGCGTTCATCACTTCACTTGATGCAAATATCCAGAAATTTCATTAACCCTTTGAAGTTCATGTAAATTGTATATATAAATGTTCAGTTTGTACCTTGCGGTAAGCACTGTACCTCCACAGTGACCAACCACTTAATGTTTTATTCACAGTTTATTGTGAGAATCGTGTCAAATACACAAATACACTGTGGACAGAATGCAGGCCTCTGAATGTTGAAACAACTGGTATATGCAGTTACTGCTGTAATCTAAAGGGTCACTGCTTCTGAGGCATGGGTTAGCGTAGGCTGGAGATATTTCCAGCTGTGTGTATACTGATTTATTGAGCTTTATGCTGGTTACAAAGTCCTACAACTGTATGTTTATGTATTTAATGATGTTTTTAAGTTCATGGATTAAATATTGTTAAATGAGACGTGAAAATGATAATTAATGGTAAATGGGTTACACACTTCTTTTCTGAAATGCAGTATGAATTAAATCCAGACTAATGTCTCTGGGCCCTCCCTTTTCCTTAAGTACCTTTTACATTACATGATGTATGTGCCACCTGCACATGTATTCCAGTGTATTCCGTACTGTTCTGTAGTTAGCAAAATGAAGACAAAATAGTGGTCAGACAACTCCATGGAGTAAAGTCTGTCTGGAAAAAATTATGATTGCAGAGGTGATTAAGAAATTCTCTACCTTTTATTGAATCTGTGTGCACCAGAGCTCACCACTGGAACCAGTCCTGAGCCACACTGTTGCATCCTACTTTCATGTCCATTTTAATAGTAACCTCCCCATCTAATATGCTACAAGCCAGAAGGTTGTGGGTCTGAGTCCCGATGAGGTGGATTTTTTCAAGTGACCTAATACTTCGAGCCGCACTATGGCCCTGGGGTCGACTCAGTGTCTAACACAAATGTGTACCAGGAATCTTACTAGGGGTAAAGGACTGCTGGTATGTAAGGCTGACAACCTCACTGCCATCTGTGAGCCAATTATCTGAGAAAATGTGGGACCCTTGACGTCTCAGGCCTTCATGGCCTGTTACAAGGATAGCTTTGCCTTTTACCGCCCATCTAAGCCTATATCCCCCAAGTGATACTTCCTCTCGGGTTTTCCAGTAACAGCATGTCATACCTGTGCATGCTACATGTCTCCTCCATCAAATCCTTGATTATCATACCATAAGTGGTGTACAAATTATGAAATTTTTTGGTACATAAACCCATGAAACTAGTTAGGTTGATTAAAATGTGTTTAAACGAAGCGTATAGTAAAGTCTGTGTAGGTAAACATTTGTCTAATAAATTTCCTATCCAGAATGGTCTAAAACAAGGAGATGCTTTATCGCCACTCCTTTTCAACTTTGCTTTAGAATATGCCATTAGGAAGGTCCAGGGAAACCAGGTGGGACTGAAATTAAACGGGACACATCAGCTGTTGGCCTATGCCGATGATGTGAATCTACTGGGTGATAATGTAGATACCATAAAGAAAAACACAAACTTTAACTGACGCAAGTAAAGAGGTTAGTCTAGAGAGAAAACTAAGTATATGTTGCTGTCTTGTCACCAAAATGCAGGGCAAAATCATGACATATTGATAGGAAACAGATGTTTTGAAAATGTTGCACGATTCAGATATTTGGGAACAACAATAACAGATTGAAATCTGTTTCAGGAGGAAATTAAGAGGAGATTGAACTCGGGTAATGCTTGCTACCATTCAGCACAGAAACTTTTGTCTTCTCGTTTGCTGTCCAAAAACATAAAAATTAGAATATACAAAACTATAATTTTGCCTGTGGTTCTGTATGGGCGTGAAACTTGGTCTCTGACATTAAGGGAGGAACATAGACTGAGGGTGTTTGAGAACAGGGTGTTTAGGAGAATATTTGGACCAAAGAGAGATGAAGTGACAGGAGGTTGGAGAAAACTGCATAATGAAGAGCTTCATAACTTTACCCTTCTCCAAGTATAATTAGAATGATCAAGTCAAGGAGGATGAGGTGGGCAGGGCATGTAGCACGAATTGGGGTGACGAATGCGTATAGGATATTGGTGGGAAAGCCAGAAGGGAAGAGACCACATGGAAGACCAAGGTGTAGGTGGGTGGACAATATTATAATGGATCTTAGAGGGATAGGATAGGCTGGTATGGATTGGATTGAGCTGACTCAGGATAGGGACCAGTGGAGGGCTCTTGTGAACACTATGAACCTTCGGGTTTCATAAAATGCTGGGAAATTGTTGAGTAGCTGCAGATTTGGTGGCTCCTCCAGGAGGGCTCAACTCCATGAGTAAGTAAGTACGTTTGGTATGTAAATGTCCTTATTCAGACACTGTTGCCTATATCAGTGTTTCTCAACCGCGGCTCAGTACCGGGCCCTCGTCTTACAGAAAAAAGAACTTACCAGGCCATGTCTGACAAAGGTTGAGAACCACTGGTATATAAGGTTCAGATGTTCTTCTGAGCACTTTGGATGTGATGTCGTGTTGTCTGGTGGAAAGTTTTGGAGGAGCCTTCCAACCGCACCATGTGGCTTCAGACTGCCCTTCCTTTGAGGTGAGAGACCAAGATGCACATCCATACAGAACAGTAGGTAAAACTGAATAGTTCAGTTGGAAAGGGAACACGCATGTCTAGAGCCAATGGGCTTTTCATCTTCTATCCAACAAACAGAATTTCAGTTTTACAGTGGCAAGCTACAGAGCAGGTTTCTGTCACTTTGTCCAGTAGGACTCCAGGGTCCACCCCACCGAACTAACAGGTACTGAGATTAATGTGGCAAACAGGTCATGAACCTGATCCCTCCATGCCTCCATACATATTTATGGCAAGGTACGTAATTAAACACTGGTACAGCTTTACCTTGCTTGCAGATGTGGGATCATTTCGAAACTTGTGGAAAGGTGTACTCCATTGATGCCTGCGCTTTTGCATACCCCAGCAGAGATCAATAACTGGGAGTAGTGGCAATAGGTGTGTTTCATTTGCGCCACCAAACTTCGTACTGACATGACCATAAGGAAATGCGTGTTTTCATTAATTGTGCAAAACCTTGAATCATATGGAAAGCATGTATTCATTTTTTTTTCTGTGCAGTTTCGTCATTTCCCGTTATATATATGTGTGTGTAGCCTCCGACAAAGTGCATGTCAGTATGTGCAAACTGCCCCATTTTGACCAAGGCTGGGATGTACTAGCATGTCAACATTATCAAATTGAAGCTGTGTTAGTATCACATAGCCACATTACTAGACGTATGTTACCGCTTTTCATGGCAAATGCGACATTACATGAATTGTGTGTTCAGTACAGCGGAACAAGGCCCATCACCCAACTTAGGGCTAACTAACATGTGGTATCAGGGTGCAAAGTCATGGAGTCTCGGTTCCAGCTGTTTTTTTTTCTGATTCCCAGTTGGGATTCGAGCCGGACTGATCCATAATACAGTACTTCCCAGTAATCAATGCTTATAAATATTACTGTTGCAACATAGATATTATTCGGCGGAAAAGTACGTTAAGTTCCCATCTCTAGCCACGGTTTTCACAAGCAATCCCCTTGATCCACTCTTTTTCTATACACCACACCCACGGAAGAACGCTTTGAAATCGTGATTTCACCACATGTACGAAAAATTTTACACGTTTTTGGAAAACTTAAAATGTGCCACTTTCTTAACGAAACGTGGAGACTATAGATAACACACCAACAATGCCGACCGAAACATAGGTCCTTTCTTTTTGTTATATAAAAAAAATACAAATATGTCCCAGACATATCCGTTCGGCCCTGTAGGCACCTTATGCCCCTTATACTATCATCCGTCTCACTGCTGTTTGCTTCTGCCATCTGTTGGCCTATTTCTAACTACTAAGAATGACTTAGAAATAGTAGACTTTGGCCTCCTTGCTGTTATCCCGTGTTATCTATTCTGGCATGACTCATACACCATGATATTCACTTTTCAGCTACCTGTTAGGCAAGTTCTAGTGCAAAGGAAACACTACTGGTTCTCCATTTAGAGAAATCAACTGGTTAAAAACAAGTTTAGGGAAGTAATCGCGCTTTTCTTATCTGAGTTTTACGAAATACAGATATGCATTCTAAAAGCAAAATGCAGAGTTTCGTATATGTTAAAAGAGTACGGCATATATAATTACCACTAATTTAACGGGTTAAGCTACCACTTATATGACTGAAGTATGCGCACAGAAACTAGAGCGATTTTCCCGCCTTGCCGGTACATTTAGGGTAGATCTGCATAGAACTCAAGAAAGACATTCGATTTACCTGACCGGAAAGACGTGCTGGCTATGTGCATGCCTCGTAACTCGAGCCGAGCGAACAAACGAATTCTCTGTCACAGTTTGTTCGGAAGGCTGAAGTCATAAGGATACAATTTTGTTTCCGGAGACCATCCGAGACCGCGGGTGTGCCACTAATGGAAGGAGAGGCGTCTCTTTGCATCAGCACGCACCACGTAAGCCAGAAGCAGGTGGCTCGAACAGAATGTTTTCCCACCTGGATAAATACGGAGCACAGTAAAACTGTTTGTGTCTTGTAAACAACGGGTCGTCATATTCTCTCTACAGATAAATAATTACTGGGGCCGCAAATCGTGCAACGTAAAACTCAAACACCGCAACGAACGCAGCTTTACGCTCTTGGAAACGGCAACAGGAACTAAATACAGATACGCTGAACTGTATCCACTTCAGCGAATTTAGAGCTCAAACGTTACAGATGTCGCGTGATTACCATAAAGCACAGTGGAACTGCCTGCTTTAACATCAAAGATGTCTGCATTTTGCCCACACAATGTATCTATGTGCTCCGTAATATTCTCACAGCAAACAGCGCTAACCGGTTGTGCGTTGTAGAGGAGACGGAGTGTTTCTTGTGCACTAGAAATCGATATTTTTAAATATTGTTTCGATGAACTTGGGACTTCAAAGGGTTTATTGTTCGTTCGTCTAGAGCAGGCATGTCCATCTTCAAACAGGTTGTGATCGACTTTTTAGTGTCAAACTGTCAGTGATCTACCACCCCCTCGTATCGTCGTACCTCGCTTTAAGCAAAAATACTGGTAAAAATAACACGACACATGATGTTTGTTGTAAAAGCAACATACATTGAAAGTGCAGACTACTTTAACACGTATTTTCCCTTCAAAATCTGAATATAATCACATTATATTACAAGTGAATTTACATGCTTTTCACGTATAATTTCCTTATAGGCCTATGAGATCGGCCAAAAATCGTCCCGCGATCGACGCGTTGGACATGCCTGATATAGAGACTTCTTGTCGCTTTCTCGGCCTATGTCACCCTGAAGATAGCAACTGCAGTGCATCTCGAAATTTCGTAACAGCTTCAAACAAGTTACATATGTTTAAAGAAGAGGCTGCACAAGAAATGGGCCTTTAAAAACGTGCAAAAAATTTTGAATTTGATGTACACCCCTGATGTTCTCAGCCTCCTTCTTCTGTTAGGTAGTTAGCAGTTTGCTTAACGGCTTTGTATCAACTGCAGACGTTACTTAGGATCGAAAGAGACGGGGGAATAAGTGCGTACGGCAAATTGGAGAAAGTGGTCGCAGCATATTGCAAAGTACTCTCTCGGCAGTGGGCTGGAAGGAAGGCGAGAAATCAGACAGGAAGAAACAGCTCCTCTGGCTGAGTGGGAAACCGGATTACTGCCGACGTACATCTGTGTGCATCTGTGTGCATCTGCTCGGTGCCGGGGTGCTAATTTTGAACGAAGGAAAACTGCCGCCCATAGGGCTCCACGGGAGGGGGCAAGTCTGCTGTCTGCTAGTACGCCGTACATTTTGCGTCCCACGAGGAATAACGACAACATTGCAGTTGTTAGCCCCATGAACTTGCGTGAGGCGTGAAGCTATATCTCCACACATTCTTATCTCGACGTTAGATGGGGACGAGTGGCCACGTTACCCCGGGGGTAGAACCCCGGTATCAATTGGATAGGGGGCTGGGTGGCACTTCGAGTCGATCTGTACACTGCAGAAATGAAAATTTCTACCCCTGCGGGGAATCGAAGCCCGATCCCTCGGTCGTCTAGCCTATAGCCTAGTCACTATATTGACTGAGCCAATTAGACAGTCCTTATCGAGAAGCTAACAGTCATTCAGCTTGTTAAATTTCACGCCTTTGTGTACAGCCTGAATTTTTCATTGCTGTGTTCCTAAGAGCCCACCACTGACACACATGCTAAGCCGCTTGAATCCAATCCCAATTTATTTACTACGTGATTTTCTTTTGACGTTACTATCCCATAATAGGTCTTGCTCTTCCAAACGGTGTTTTGCCTTCAGGTTTTTCAATTAAAATGTTGTCCTCACGTCTCTTTCCCATGCGTGCTACATATCCCGTCCATCTCGTTTTCCTCATTTTGTTCACTTCAATAATATTTAGCAGTGAGCACAGATTAAGAAGTTCCTCATCATGGAGTTTTCTCCAACTCCCCCCAAGCACTTACCCTCCTCGTCAGACACCCTCAGCCTCGTGTTCTGCCCTTAACATGAGGGACCACACCCATAGAAGCCAGCAACTAGAACTGTAATCCCGCACGTTTCAAGCCGTGTGTGTGCGCACGCGCGTGTTTTAGCCCATACATCAAGAATATCAAGAAGCTCCCGTCAGCCTGACACCTGTTTCCACAGGAGGCTGTTGGAACAGTCTGGCCGTGCAAGCTAGACATGTAGCACGAAACGGAAACGTTACGTCACACAGCCACAATTCCTGTGAGAGACGAGGCTCCCGCGGCAATGAATATCGTGATATTATATTTATATTTTATTCTGGGATTTGACGCCGTATAGTTTGGTACCCACATACCAAACTATACGGCGTCATAGTCCAGAAGGCGCGATAATTTTAAGCTCATGTCTAGTTTTCAGACATCACAGAAATATGTTCTGAAATTTCCAGTTTCAAATATCGACTGTTGCCTGCCATAAATGTGGTATTAAAATGAAGCTACTGCTCGGAACAGAGGCGTGTCTGTTTCCATCATCAGGAGCTGCTCTTCCGAAGGCGATGCTGTCAGAGCTGAAGTTGTCTGTGAATTTCCTCAGTCCGGTAAAGAAAAGTTTGGGACTGTGTCCTAAAATAGATTACGGTAGCTTCGTGTTATGTCAGAGGCTCATAGAATGGTCCCTACTGATCAGCCATGCTATTGTACAACACAAGGAACTCCATCACGCGCCCCCTCATTGCCGACAATGAGTTTTCGTCGGTGATGAATCATTTCCGTGTAATGGCAAACCCAAGCAACTCTTGGGTCCATTGTTCTTTGCACCTGGCGCCCGAGTGCTCGAGATATCGACCCACATTGCTAGTTCGTAGCTCCGGTAACCCCAGCGCCTCCGTGACACAGCAGGCACTGACTTCCTTCCACACAGCAACAATGCATCATCACGACGTTCATCTGTCTGCAACAGTAAACTTGCGATTGTTATGGCACGTTCTTTCCGAGCGGATGTTTGAGAGGGATCCGAGAAAGAGGAATTAGGATTACAAAAGAAACCGGAAACTCTGTAAGTATATGAAACATTACTAATATAACGACAAAGTTTTAAAGTAGCTAACGTTTGGACTGCCATAGGGAGCCATGAGAGAGTGGATTGCATTGCAGTTATGAAACGGGGCACTTCGCGCTCTACACACCTCACAGAACACTCTTTTAAGGCGCGTCCACATTACTCGTGCTCGTGTGACTCGCTATGCTTGCGAGTAATGTGGACGATATGACAAGTCACGAGACAAGCAAATTTTTAATTTAAAAACTATAGCCAATAAATTAAAATACGACTACAGCCTGTACACACTACGAGTAAATATACGGATCCTCACGCGCCGAAGCCTGGCGAGCAACTGAAGTAGTGTGGACGAAGATTTACGAGCACAAGTAAAAGCCAGACGAGTCTCCCGACGAGCACAAGGCTGGCGAGCACGAGCACGAGTAATGTGGAAGCGCCTTTACATGTTACACTAATATATTCTGCGGCCGTGACATAGCTCAGGCGATTAGTCGCTGCCTTCCCACCGCGGCGGCCAGGGTTCGATCCCAGGTCAGGCCATGTGAGATTTGTGGTAGACAAATTGGCAATGGGGCAGATGTTCGCCGAGTCCTTCGGTTTCCCCTTCCAATTCTCATTCCACCGACTGCTCCACACTCCACATCTATCATCAGGGGCTGGTACAGTAGACCAGTAGTGGCCGCAGTACAAGGGACTCAGACCCACACCCACCCCACGTAATAAGAATTATATTCTACATTGCCCACTTTCGTATGATTGGTATATTCGATGTACAGGACGTTTCGGCAATTGATTCTACTCTCGTCCCCAGCAGATCAGTTCGCATTATACCGAAACATAATTTTCACTGTATTTCAAAATTGGTGAGTTCGAACCCAGGAGCTTTTGAATGCTAGACACACTAGACCATAACGTAAATACTCTATTCGAAAGACTCCTCATGCTATTGCACTCAGCATGGCTAACGCGTGGACTGAAATGGAACACTGTTTGGGCTGGACCCAACTGAGCACACACCGACAGCTCACAATAACGTTCTGTTGTTCGTTAATAGGGACGGCGGCACACGATGAGACAGCCGTGCCACGCGCAGCCGTTTCGGCTTGAAGCTGTGGACCTTGGCGGTACACGTGGGCAGATAGTGAGAACGGTTCCTGGCAATAGGCAGGCTTTGCCTAATTCCTTTACAAGTTACTTTATAAAATCACGCTCATTATCTTATTCACGCGTATGAACTCCATGGAGCAGGGTCCTCCTTGAGAAGCTGACAGTCTCTCATCCGACCAAGAAATGCACCCTCTTTTATGGAACTCAAGGGGTCACGAGATCTTGCCCCTACATTCTCTCCACATACTCTATTTGTTTGAGATACATTTTAATAATATCCTTCTGTGTACACCTGGAGTGACTGGGCGACCCGGGAAGAGAACTGAATTTCAGGCGGGAACAAAGATTTCTCTCTCCTGCACAGGGCCCGAACCCAGCCTCCTGTTCAGTGGGTGCCGGGGAGGGGGGAAGCTAAGTACTCTCTTCCATTCAGTGCTAAAGTGAAGAATACATGGAGCTATGCCTCCAATCCCCATTCAACTTCATACGGGAGTGTCTTCTTATTAAGCACAAGGGCAACTGTACCTTACGTGTGCCCAGGTTTCCCAACTGGTGTCTAACTACGTGCGCTATTCGCTCTCCATGCTTGCTACATGCCTTGCCCACCTTAGACTACTTTATTTGTGTGCTTGCCTGTAAGTAGCACAGGTAAAGTTGTCTCTCTGCTTAATTAATTAAGCATTATACATGGGAGTGCTCCACCACTCTCGACCTGGGCATTAGTTCGGAGGCCAGTGGTCATCTTCACGCCCCGGTCGCCTTTACCCGCAGAGAAGTCGTCCCCGGTACCCACTGGATAAGAGACTGGGTGGGCCCCAGAGCCGGTCTGGACGTTGTGGAAAAGAGATGGATCTTGCCCCTGCCAAGATTCGAACCATGGCCATCCAGTCCGTAGCCTGTCGCGACTCCTAACGATGTGTAGTGAAGGGTAGAGACTGACGCAGCTGCCTGCAGCACCCTTACGGTGTCAGTCATAGCCTGTGGGACAGAATCCTCTGAATTTCCCGCCGCTGTAAGAATACCGAAAGTATTTTGAAAGTAGAATCCTCTTGTTCTAATGGTGACGTAACGGGGACGCACAGACGGAGCATGTGAAAGGCCGATATTGATCAGTGCGGCAACAGCCTTCAGCCTCGAACTTGACGCAGAGACCAGGCCCACTCATTACATCTCTGCTCGAACTCCAAATAACCTAACCATGCCACGAACACACGCGTTATTGGCGATAAACGTTATTCCAAGCGGGTTAGAAATCACTTACTCGCCGGGATGTGAGTTTGAATCCCGCCCAGTGCAGGGCGTTTGACATATAACAAATGTACCAGTATATCGATGTGTGTGAATCTTAGCATAAGGATCCTAAACCCTTTAAAGCACAGTGGTAGCTATCAAGATGAATTCAATCCACGTCTTCATGTCCTATAATTCTAAATATCCATTTTAATATTATCCTCCCATCAGCGTTCATGTCTCCGAAGTGGTCTTCACGCCTTGCGAGCGAACTGTTTTACACGTTACTGGACCCAGAGGCACAAGGTGCGAGGCGATGCACCCCGCTCTACAGGAACGGGATACAAGCAGAACCACGTCCGTGTGTGTCGCTGCGCTGAGAAGCCCCAACTGCCCGGGCGGGGGTAGCTAAATTAACACTCGGACAGTATTCAGGAGGGGAGGGGAGCGCCTTCTTAGAATTTCTGCTGAACGCTGATTATCCTGGTTCATGACTTTTGGTGATATTCCTCAGTGCCTCTCGGCAAATGCCAATGGAGCTCCTTAAATTAGGCCACATCATTTCCAATTCATTATTCGTCGACCCTATGCAGTCTGACTTTCTGACGGCGTCATTAAACAGAGTAAAAATAAATATTTTGTGTCCGCTGATCCATATTCCTTGTGCCTCTAATTTATTTACACACAACTAACTTGCTACCTGCAGTGGAAAGCTTCGGAACCAAGACGTGATACGGAAGTGGCAACATTCGAATCGATATCCTGGAAAGTCCTACAGTGGCACACACTGACGTTTCAGAGGGAGCAGCAGTTTAACGCAGAAAGGCAGGAACAGGCCGATCACATTGCTACTGTACACTCTATTGAAAATAGCGTAACGCTCCGACTGAGAAGCATTTGTTATGTAAGTTAATGGAGGTTTCGTTCTGAGAGCAATGTTGTTGCTTTGCTGACAGAAAAGCTAAACGGGACATGAATGATGACGTCCCCAAACATCGAGTGGAGGGAACGTCTGGGCGGGCTCCCACCTTCAGCACAGAACAAGCAGCCAACTTTGCAAAAACGCGTGAGAACGCGTCTAAACGTAACAGAGCTCTGTTGAAGGTAAGGTCAGTCAGTCATCACGAAATCCACAGAAAGTGAACGTTCATGATGCTTTTTGGTTGACATTTCTGTACAATGCTGACCCCATGAAGCACAATCCTTCTTCTGAAGCTGATAGTAGCTCAGCTGGTGAGGAAAATCCCTACGTTTTATAAAAGAGGAACATTCGTTGCCACATTCACAAGAGCAGGCCACTGGGCCCTGGCCAGATAATGCGACCCACACTTTCTGACTTATTTGAAATGTACATTCATGTTAATCCTTCATCTATATCTACGTCTTTCAAGTGGTCTCTTCCTTCTTTACGTTTTCCAACTCTTATGCGTGCTACATATCCCGCCCATCTCATCCTCTATGATTTGCATTGTTAATATAATCCATTTAAAAACAGGACGCTGAAAAGGAACGTGCTGAATTATATGACCCGCAGTGCCTCTAATATAATTTCTATGTAAACAAGGCTCACGTGTGGGTTTCAGGTGCCGAGGACTCCACAAGCCACACTGCAATACGAATTTTTGTGCAGTGGATATTGCCTGCACGAAGACTGGCATTTGCAGATTCTGTGGCTCAGATGTGATAAAGAAATGTCCTGTCCGTTTTGTTACCCAGTTTCATCACTTAACGGCGGGCTGATACGTGTACATCGAGTCCGGCAAATGTTCCCTTTCAGCAACTTCGCAAAATGTATCTACCATCTCCTTCCTATATTGTTGCAAACCTTAAAAGAAGGTTTATAGTCTCCGGAATTAGTGGTTCATGCGCAGGCGCGAACCGGGTGCCTACTTTTACAAACGGACAACACCCAGACGCGAAGAGGACTTCTAGGTGCCCAGAATATTACTCCGGAAGCCCAGGAAGCTAGGCCAACGTAGATCGCTGCAGCTGTGGGAATGGCAGTGCAGAAACAGTGTATCGGCTACAAATCTGTTGTGCCACGAAGGGAGAAGCTTTCTGACGTAATTCTAACAATTTCGGCGTCATGTTTGTAACGGTTAAGGAAACACAGACCCCTGAAATCTCGTGACGACTTTCTATAACCACGTTTCGCTTCACAAGACTTGCGCATGCGCGCAGACTCTCGTCCGATGTGAACCGAAACTGGAATATGTCGACACATTTTGGTAGAAGTCCCCAATATCAATTTTCATGGCAGCCGGTATACAGACAGGTTACCACCTGATGGCCGAAGGGTCGGAGTTCGATATCCAGGCGAGATTTCTTCTCTCCACGCCATCCAGCCCTTACCCCCGGAGGTAAAGCGGCGTGAAGCTGTCTACTCGCCTCCAAGTAGCACCGAGGTCAAGAATGGTGGAGCTATACCTCCACTCCCTTATGTCTTCACAGCGTAGTGCTTAATTAGTTAAGCACGTAAATTCATTCCGCGATTTTCGACCTGAGCGACTATCAGCTTCCGAATGACTGCTCAATATAGCTAGTTAAAAGTGTAATTCGATAAAATCTGTAACATCTATTGATATTCAGATCAGGGAAATTTAGAAACCAAAAAGAGCATCTGTATGTTCCATCAACTGCGCAGGCCCAAAATATCATCGGGCCGACTACGGTCATAGTTCGTACTAGGGAGATCCTGCTTTCCTATTTCGGCATAGACAGCCGCAATCCTGGCCGAGGTTTCTCGTGGTTTTCCTCGGTCTCTCCATGATACTATCGGGATATTACCTCAAATCATATCGCCACTGCTTCATTTCACACCTTTTCCAAATCATTATTCGCCAGTCATCCTACAATTCGATGCTATGCAGCCCGCCATCACGATGTGAGAAGTGTTACAGAGGGTTGCGTCTGCATTGCAGGAACTCGAGGTACAGGCGGCCAAACTGCGGTCGCGCACGTGCTTCTGCCCTACCGAACTGCAACTCTACAGACTGCAGGCAAAGTATGAAGAAGAAATGCGAGCCACAGGTCATTATCATCAAAACAGAAACAAGAAAATGTGTCCACCTGCTGACGTACCCTTCCTCTTACGTCACACTGGGCCATACAAAACCGCACCCACATGTAAAACACTGAATTTGACTTTTTGTCCTTGGGTTGTTGCACGCGATGTTACCTCCACTTTCACGGTCGAAGTGCGTAGGTTGGTGATTTTATATGTATATATTAGAATTTCCCTAACCTACACACTTCTATCCTGAAGATGGAGGTAGTACGGAGCTCCGAAACGTCGGAAACATCGCCCACATGCCCATGGGGTAACAACTCAATATTATTATTTACATTAATTTCATATCTCACTGAAAATGAAACATAAATCACTGCTCACAGAACATGCCGGACCTGATCTCCATTGTCCTGAACAAACGAACCATGGGTGGAGGAGTCTAAACTAAATTTGTGGGCCCACTGCACCAGCTCCGGACGACGGGTGAGTGTGGAGCATTTGGCGGAACAAAAACTGGAAGACGAAACCGAATTACTCCATGACAAATACCACATGATATGGCAGTGGAAAGCAGGCGACTTACCACCGGAGGAATGGCACGGCCGAAAGCAGGATAACTTTCCGCCATGATGCTATTAGAATACGGCTTTAAATGGATAACTCTGTATAATAAGAAGTTCCCATACACAGTACTCGTGGTTTTATTCCTTTACTTTTCGTGCGGGTTTCTACACATCTTTGTGCCACATTATGATGGGAGGGAATTCTATAATATCCGTGTTGAGTCAATATTAGCATATGACGTGGCAACAGTCTCATAAGAAATGCATACAGATCGGTTCACTGAAGTCCCAAGTTCATAGAAATATGAAAAAATCAGTTCCTACCTATCAGAAACTGCACTGTTCATGGCAATCATCGCTGTTTACTGTGAGAACCTTACGGAACACATAAATACACTGTGTGGGCAGAATGCAGAGTTTTAGTATCTTGAAATCCGTTCCTCACAGGAAACACACTCCGTCTCCATAGCAACACCCAACCGGTTAATGCTGTTTAGGGAAATAATCACTGTTTACTGTGAGAAACACACGGAACACATAAATACACTGAGTGAAAGTGAAAGTGACATTGCGACTGATGGTCAGTCAGTAAATCTTGGTGTCGAGCCCCATCTGGGGCTCATGACCAGATATTTATTACTCTGACAGTTACGGTCTTGTTTCTGTGGAGCGCCCTCTCTGACGAGAGGACGGGTCTGTCTTTTGTATATGCTACTGGCCATTGCCAGCGCAGTCTTTCTCAGGTCCAAGTCCCTTGGTACTTGCAACCGTATATTATTGTCTCAGATTTGAGACTTCCCTTTTCGTCACCTCCTACGACTCGCAGGGTCACAGTGGAGGTATTCGACCCCGCCTCCACACAGGCGATACACTGTGTGGGCAGAATGCACAGTTTTAGTATCTTGAAGTCTGTACCTCACAGGAAACACACTCCGTCTCCATAGCAACGCCCAACCGGTTAATGCTGTTTATGACAATCATGGCTGCTTATTGTGAGAACCATACAAAACACACAAAAGCACTGCACAGGGGAAATTATTTTTTTTAATGGCAGATCAGGCGGTATATATATATATATATATATAGTAGTTACCACTGTGCTTTAAATCTGGAAAATGTAACTACTGCCTTATAACTGGGACACACCTGCATTATTAGCTGAGTTTATCATCATCTTGTTGCCAGTTCCTCCTGGTGACATGTAACTAACTGAAGGAAGCCTGTCTCACAAGCCATGATCACCGCTGCTGGGGTTAGTCCACCCCTGGACTTCTCATTCCGAAACCTGACTTCTGTGGAAGATCTTGGTGACACAAAGCCAAGACGTGGTGTCAAACGGTACCGGAAATCCCCTTCTGGTCTCTATGATTGCTATGCGCTCCGCCTCAACAATAACCACCTCATGTCTGTCCGCGGGATCCATGCGATCTTGTATCAGGTTTGGGCAATGCTGATTTTGTAGTAGAATATACTTGCATACATCAATTAATACAACTGCAACAAATTTGGAAGTGAAGAAATAAATGAGACTGGCTCTGAATGGTATGCGGGGGGGTGCTGAGGTGGTACCTAGTTGCACCGCCCCCTCATCATCAAGGAAGGCATGTCTGATGTGTGGGAGGAACTGCAGACATAAAGTTGCGTTCACTTCCAAAATATCCGCTTTGGAAAGAACTTGAAACACACAAGCTCTAAATAGGTACGATCTGTTCAAATAAAATTGGAAAAGACTGACTAAATTTTTTGTGATCTACTGCAGTTTGTGTTAAAACACAGTTTGATTTGAGTTTCGTGTGAAGCACATGGCTGATTGAGATAAAATACAAATTAACTAAAAATTTTTCAGTGTTCCCCCCCCCCCCTCTCAATTTTTTATTGAAACTTATTGAGCAGTTTCAGACATGGACTGATATAACCTTCCCTATACGCATTCATTTCCTGCAAAGCCAGCATGACAACACAAGACTATAAAACAGTTCAGAAATCACTGTCAGCTCTGAAATTTTGTGATCTTCCATGTATGTAAAGAACTATGTTTATCAGATCTGATGATCCCATGGCAGTGAATATTCAAACTGAGCTCTCCAGCTATGTGACAGTATACAGTCTAATAGATGCTTACCCCCAGAAATCCTATCACTGCTTGTCCTTACAGGTGTCTGCCATGTGGAGTCACATGTCAGAAGACGACAGCATCTTAAATGCACGTGCAGTCAGTCACACAGTTCTGGCATGCAACTACTGTACATTTAATTTGTGCTATTGCAGGTGGTGGAGAGGCCTGAACAGTTAACATGGCTGGACCTTTCCTTCAACAAGCTGACATCCATTTCCACAGAGCTAGCAGAATTCTCTAGCTTGAAAATAATGTATCTTCATGGAAATCTCCTTACAGAACTTGGCAAAGTTCTCCATACACTGAGACACCTTTCTCACCTCTACAGCCTCACGCTGCATGGGAACCCACTGGAGGAACATAGGAAATATCGAGCCCGGATCCTGTGCAGTCTGCCACAGCTACGATCACTGGATTTCACCAATGTAACAGTGTCTGACAAACTGCATCTGAACAAGGTTAAAAGGAGGAGCACCTCATTTAAGACATAATGCTCCTACATCGATACGTCCCAAGCGTCAGTGTGTTTAGCATCGTTGCTGAACCAAACTTTGACTGTTATTCCAGTAATAAACATTAAAAAACTTGGAAACTGATTTTACAGTTGGGTCTGGAAGCATTTGTAGCAAATAATGGGCACGTATCTTGCCCATCTGTTGTCTTTTAGTTCACCAATTTATGTACTGTCTGCTCATAATCATCAATATTCCTTGTAATTGATACAGAAGTCTTAATTAATCAATATGCAACATTATGTGCAAGATACAAAGAGACTTCTATGCTGTAGATGGAGGCAGATTCCACCAAAATGCTGGCACATAGTGTCACATCCAAGAAGACAATAGTAATTTTAACACAAATATCCATTTCCTGTATGTGTGCAGAAACACACCATGGTCAGTAACTGCATGTCGCTTCTGACAGGACACTAAAGGAAAGCTTACAGAACAAGGAAACCTGCAGTCCTTCTCTAACAGCTTTCACATTCCATATTTTTAGATCTTCATGCAGTATGCCACAAGGCAGTGTCTACATGGATGCATAAGACAACGGAAAGATGTCACTGTATGACCCAATACACAGTGAAGAACTTTTGTTCAACGAGACTAAGACACATGGACTCTCACACTACAGCCAACCATCTTAATGAAATGTCTGATGTATGAATTTATTTTAGAAATATGAATCACCTTCCTGCAATTATTCTAAATATGCACAAAGGCAATAGTGACATATATCTCTAACAAACATTAATTGTTGTGGTAGTGTTAAGTTCAATGTTCTCAATATTTCTTGATGTCCCACATCAAATTTTTGTTCCTGTATTGCTGAAAACAAAATACTTTGGTATTTCTGTGTTTCACTTATTTTTTTGGTACTACAGAATACAAACAGGAGTCAAAATCACAGAGACATTCTGCAGCAAATAGCTGAGCAGTGACTTCCTTTGGGTTGCAACAGCGTTTCAGTACGGTGCTAGAGACATCACATTAGTGTACAGACAGGGATGGAGGGGGGACACATTCTGCAATTTGATTGAGATCCTCACCAACTGAAATCCATCTCCATTCATACAGGGTGACTCACTGTGGCACACGAAACACTGGCTCAGCCTTTACAAATTGCAAGCAATGAGCATACATGTCAGAAGGTGAAACTTATTATTGTAATTATTTGCAAATTGTGGTGGGTACTGAGGGCGATATCCTGGGGGTAAAGCGGCTGGGGCGCAAAGCTGATGACTCACCTCCATCTAGTACTAAGGTCATGACTGGTGGAGCTATACCTCCACTGTGCCATACATCTTCATGGCACAGTGCTTAATTTATAACAAACACAGAGCGAACTTTACCTCAGCTTACTACCTCAAGAAAATGACTTCACTTGAAGCCATTCTGCTCTAAGTTTTCAAAATGATGGAATTACTCTTTGAAAAAGGCAATCGAGTATTGCACAAGTGTTTATCTTCACGGGGTGGAGATAAGAAGCACGGTGTCACTGAGAAAACATTTCAATACCACATAAGGACATGAGAGCTGGGGCTCCCACAGCAGTGAATATTCCATTGCAGTCTTCTGCAGTGGCATGCCATGTAGTGTAGATGGCACCAGGTTTCAGGAGAGAGTAAGCTTAATTATCATACAACACTAACTAAAACAATTCAAATTGTCTTATTTTATCATGAGACTTTAACTGAGAAACTGCAATATGAAAAATGTATTACCAACTGATTCTGAGATAATTAAGATTATTTCTTAATCCTAATTTAAATGCCACTGCCGTTCTCTGCTGGTCTTATTTAAATACCATGAAACTACTTATTTGCAGCTACCTTCATGCACTGTTTTTCTCCAAATTTCCATAAAGAGGAAGAAACATTGGCTAAGTGTCATCACAATATGGTCTGCATGACTGTGTGAAATATTTTTTATGGCCTGTACTCCTGCCCATAATGATACAAGCAGTAATTCGTTTCAATCACTTTCTTACAGAGCTCCAGGGGAAGCTGGAAGCTGAGCTGACTGCAGGTTCATACTATACAGTTTCTTTCGGTTACATATGTTAGTTTCAGCAGCTATTTCTTCAAACAAATTTGCATTAAAATATAGCAAAAAACATTTGTCTGAACAGGCATTTGTCTGCTTCGAGGTGGTTCATAGCCAGCTGAGGCATGAAATGGTATCATATAGAAAACTTGGTTATTTTCATCCCAGAGAGCCAAATCTTCTTCTTCTTCTTCATCATCATCATCATCATCATCATCATGTTGTCGTAACCGCCACCATCACCATCATTACCACCTACATGTATATTTCCAGTTACCCGACTGTCATCAGAATTAATACAACTATCACTCAAATCAGGCCCACATATTTTGGCATCAGGGTCAATACGATGAAATATAAATTCACTGGAAGAATCTGAGTCATTATGGATCTGTTTGCTGTCCAATAAACGACCACCAGAAGATGCCGTTGGGGATAAAACTACAGAGAAAATATATGCAGACCCTTCAAAAATCTGTTACAAAATTAACAGAAGTACTAGAGCAAAAAACACCAGCGCAGAGGAGTGCTTGAATGACGAAGTGACACTGTTTGCCTCCCTCAGACTGACTCCTGATCATCTATAATAGTCATAAAACATGTAGCCGACTGAGCCCAACATAGGACTGCAAAAGTTTAATTTTTCTTTTAAATCCATTTGCTTAAAAATCATATAATCAATGAAATGTAGAGCCTCATGGTATTTTCTGAAATAATAATCGGTGACTATGGATGACAGCAGGAAAATGATAGGCTGGTATTCTTGAATGCTGTATACATATGAGGGCTGGTGACACTTTACTGTTACGTGGGACAAGGATACTGAGGTTAAAATCATGAATATTTTTATTATATTCATATAAATATAACTTCTTCAAAGAGTTGATCATCAAATTACATAAATCAACACAACTCCATTTGTAATACTAAACTTTGTAACAACGAAATATATTTTTGTTCTTTAGGAACGATGCAGCAAATTACAGTCAACTCTCGATTATCTGGGGGCAGATTAACCGGGGCTACTGAGGCTTATATGTTGTTTAATATTCATTCACTTTTGTTTCACATGGTGAGTTGTAACACTATTTTCGCACTAGTGTGAACCGAGCTCTGCATTCTTTGGTCCCGTTATGCTAACACAATGTTCTAGGGTAGGGGTGAAAGAATGCAAGGATTTGTGGAAAGTTTCAAGGACAGATACACCGCCCCAGTTGGTCTCTTTGTATCGATCTTCAAGTGTGTTAGCAAAATGTCAGGGTGTAAAAGGAAGTGTGTTGTGTTAAGTATTCAACAGAAACTCGTGTGAGCCGGGCTTCAAAATGTTAAGCAGCGATGAAACCGTAAGTTCAGTGGGGGTGCAGCCAGAAAAGAGGGAAGAAAGTGAGAATGAGGAAGAGGTGGACAGTGCTGCTAGTAAGAAAATATCACATGGTGCTGCTCTTAATCATTTGGAATCCTTACTAGACTATCTTGAGAGTGAAGAGAACAGTTTATTAAGTGACAAGCTAATATTACGTAGGCTTCGTACAGATATCCGTAAAAAGGAAAATGCCGCGAAAAAGCAAACGACGATATTAATTTTTTTTTTAAGTGTTAAGTGTGAATATTCGTAAAAAGTGTTGGATGTTGTTGAACACTGTGATTGAAATAACTAATTCACACTTCAGTATAATGTAAAAAAACTATTAAATAGGCCATGAGATGACATAAAAATGAGGTTGAGTAAATTTAAATACAGGTAGGCCTATAGTATTATGAAGGTACAGTATTACAGTACTACTTTTCATAACATTTGTCTTAACTGGGTTTTCGATTAATCGTAATTTCCATGCCCACCATTATCCCGGATAATCGAGAGTTGACTGTATTATAAATACTGAAGTTTAAAACAATAACAACTGTTACAGGCACACAACACTTACTTCAGTTCAGTAACATTAACTATTATAAGAATTATGTAAGCATATCACATTAACAGCAATTACTAACCTGGAGACTTAAAAAGCACTGTCAAATTTGCTACTACAAACTGTCTGCCTGTAACTATTCTGAAATACTGTTTTCTGCGCTGCATTGTCTGAAACCTACATTATAGCTGTCCATTTTCCATCCATGCATGAATTGAATTCTCTGGCTAAACAGATGGTGCCATGCCGGCTTACATTCCCCAAAAGAACATTCAAGACAATTCTTTCATTAAACTTCAAATGATCAATCAGTTTTAAATCGTGTAAAAGCAGACGACATTATGTTATGCCTAATGCTTATGCTTCTGTGGCAGGAAGATGGATATAGCTATAAACATTTTCAATGAATACTCATTCTGGCATCAAAGTAGGAAATGAAAAGTCATCAGTCAGTAGTGTAACTTTTCATTTTGAGAATGATCTTTAAAACAAAAAATATGTACACAAGTAAAAGTTTCAGACTTACAGCAAGCAATTACAATTTTAAGGCATTTCCTTGTGTACTGACCTCATAAAATCTGAAACCTTATAGCACCTTTAAGACCCGTCTTTTGGTAGGATGGGGCACACCTCTTAAGCAGTATTTGGTATGGCAATAAAGTGATAACAGATGGCAGCAATGGTGATGCATATTTGAACGATTTCACAAGCCGTGCTACTGTGCTACCATCTGGATCTAGTTTGTTCTGTTATGGCAGTGAGTTGTTCCTATGACAAACAAGACTGTAAAAGTATACAGTGCACCCTAACTAGCTGTAGGATCTGGGGTTGACTCAGCCTCTAACAGAAATGAGTACCAGGAATTAATCAAATAATTTTCCTGGGGAGTAAAGTGCGGCCGGCACGTAAGGCTGACAACCTTACCGCCATCTTTNTTTCTTTTCTTTTTTTTTATTTTTACAGTGGTGGTTATGGAGAGTTCTGTGTTCTGGGATAGTACGGCACATAGTCCATTCATAGTCAACCAACATTTAAAGGAACACGCCACCTACATCTTCTGGGTTGAAGAACAAGCCAAGCAAGAAATCAGCAGGCAGCACGCTACCGAGCAGAGTCCTACCGGTTTCTTACTTCACTCTTTCTTCGACCTCAACATCCTTGGCAAAATCTAAGCAGTCATGAAAAAACTATGGATCTTTCTTTTGCTCTACATTCAGCATGTTTAAGATCGGTAGCTAAATCCTACCATGAATACTTCTGATGTTCATGTAGAACGGTCACAATATGTCTCTTTAATTTTGATAAGCTATTTCAAACAAATCACTGGAGGTTCATCTTGTGTTGCCAACGAACTCCAGATAAAAGGCGCTTATATTGCCATTAATCCACATGATTTTAATGATGATGGTAAAAAATACTGAATTTGTAAAAACAGAAACCCTAAGCTACAGTCACCTTTAACCACCATGAACAGAATTAAGTCACAACCAGATAAAATATAATCACTGCACTGCTGACCATAAAACATGTTATATAAAGCACATTGAACAGTTTTAATCTGTTCTATGATTAAGTATCCACTCTGGTGCATCAGTGTCATAAGCTTGCCTACAATGAGCAAATTCATGGTGTGTTATAAATATTATGATTTTAGGAACGCAACAATGATTGGGCATACACTCTCTGGATTGTTTAAGTGCAGAAAATGTGTTCCCTCAACTTCATGCAACTCTAGCTTCTTGGCCGATTGTCTGATCCTGTCAAGTATAATGTGATAATTTTCCGGAGGATCAAACTGCATTCCTGCTTTACCTCTGATGTTTAAGACCTCACATGTTATCTTTGATGCATACTCCAAAGTCATGTCCAGTGACAGGAAACCAAGGAATCCAATCTTAAGACGAGAATCCCGGGAAAAACGGAATCTATCATCCGTCACATCAATGCTGTCAGATGCTACTACAGGCAATGCACCACGTTTTAGCATTATTTCACACGATTCATCAGTAAGAGAACCTTTGTAAGCCTGCAGCATCAGTTTCAACATTTCATCATGCGTGTAGGCGGGTACAGTCTCTTCAGACATGTTTTCATAAGCCAGAAACTGATCCACAGCACGACCTGTTTGCTGTGCAAAATACTGAAGAGGCCTCACAGATGGACCAGCGATGTCAATACATATAAATTTTTCAACATCTTGTGGGAATGTAGCCGCATACATGAAACCTATCGTTCCACCCAGAGAATGACCAAGAATCGTAATCTTGTCCCACTGGTAATGTTTCACTATTCGCCGAACCAGAATCAGTCCATCCCACCACAAGTAATAAAACTGTCCTCTTGGACAATGGGATGAGAATCCATGCCCAGGAAGATCAATACATAATACTGGGGCATACAAAGACAACAGGGGTGCCAATGTGTCAAATGAGCCAGCATTATCTTGCCAACCGTGTAATGCCAATATAGGTTGTTTTTCACGGGAACCCCACCATTTACCTGGGTGAAGGAAAAACAAAATTCTGCTATAATAATACACCTCCTATCCATGCAGTATGCTATAATACAGTTTACAGAATGGGACGTCTATCATCTTCATCACAGTTCACATCTGCAGTTATGTGCCAAATGCATTAACCTCATCAAAGGCAGACAGATGCGGGCTCACGAAAAAAAAAAAACTGTGTGTGGCAGAATTATGTCACGTCGAACGCCTCTCGCAAGATAATATCATTTCAGTTATTTCAACCTCTGTGTAAATTAAAGGATCAGGACATGAGAACATTCCAATGCTATTTAAGTAAAGGCAAGCCTTATGTCACAATGATCTGTGTTGAATACACTCCCCCAGGATTCTTATCTTACCTAATAACCGCATATTTTTCTTTCAATTTCTGAATTTTGGTCAAGTAGTTTACAAACTGGACAAACACATTTCATTTTTTCCCCCTGTACATTATAAGTGACACACCACAATGAGTAAAAATTAGGATGTGAAATACGTTGCAGCATATGAAGTCATTCTTTACTTGCTGGACGTGATCATTTATTTTAAGCATTGCTTGATTAAGTCCCTCTGTTCTCTGTGTCATAAGCATCTACACACATCACAACTGAAATGTGTTCCTTGTCCCACTGCTTACAAGGAGGAAATGATAAACCAGAAAAACTGGTTTTCAGATTTTTATGAACTGTGCCATGACAGTGTTCACATCTACACATTTTTTCCAAATTTATTTAATTTAACTAGTTTACATTTACATACTTGGGTGGATTTTACAAATAACTTTTTCATTTCATTTGCGCTAATAAATTATACTTTGACATCTTTTACATTTTGCTTTTTTGAGCTTTAAGTTACATCAATATAGTTATTCAACATAGAGTGTATGAAGTAATGACTGTTCAACAGTATTACATCATGGCGGACACCAGTGGCTGAAAAGTTACTGTAAATGAGGGTAAAGCTTGACAGACCATCAGGTGGGTACGTTGATGGCAAGGGATATCTGAGGGCAGAATCATGTGTGGTGAACTGAAGTACATGGCAATCAAGGTACTGGGACGGCAGCCAAGCAGAAACACAGCTGATGTCGCAACTGAGGAATGAACTGAATACCCATGAATACACAAACTGCCCTACCACCGAGCTAACCTGTTTAGTTTCTGCAGGCACCACATTGATAACACTGAACTTACCACTGATATGGCCCCAAGGTACTGGAATTTTTACTTCCCAAGGAACTGGAATTTTTACCTTAAACTCTGGTTCCATATTTCTATCAATACCTATAAGCAAATAAAATATTTGAAACTGTATTTCTAATATAAAAACCTATGGCAGATTTTTCCAGAACTTCTCTCCACTGCCTTCTTCCACCAGTTATTAACTCTCTGTCTATAAGCCTTAAATTTTCAGTCAGATATTTCTTCTCTTCAAAGTTACAAAGACAATGTAGACTCAAGTTTTGGAACATAGTAGGACTGGGGTTATAATGAAATAGATTTTAAGGATAGACTGATACGATAAATGATACACACTCCGTCCCAAGTGCAAACAATATATATTATATGTCTTTGATCTTGTTCTTTTCTACACTACATGTTTCGGCCTCTATCAGCCATCATCAGGTGTATACTCTTAACGTTGCTGCCACACTGAAACCCAGTCTAAAATTTAACATTTAAAAAAACACATTGTTATTTTTGTCGTATTATCAACATCTACCTCGTTCATATGTGTCTGGTATGTAGATTATATTGCACACGTCAAATTTTCCTGTAGTAGCACTATAAAATCTTTAGTTATGATTTTAAAATCCTCTAAAATTTTCTCTAAATTTAGAGAAAATTTTAGAGGATTTTAAATTTAGAGAAAATTTTAGAGGATTTTAAAATCATAACTAAAGATTTTATAGTGCTACTACAGGAAAATTTGACGTGTGCAATATAATCTACATACCAGACACATATGAACGAGGTAGATGTTGATAATACGACAAAAATAACAATGTGTTTTTTAAATGTTAAATTTTAGACTGGGTTTCAGTGTGGCAGCAACGTTAAGAGTATACACCTGATGATGGCCGATAAAGGCCGAAACATGTAGTGTAGAAAAGAACAAGATCAAAGACATATAATATATATTGTTTGCACTTGGGACGGAGTGTGTATCATTTATCGTATAGAGTGCAACAGGATGCTGAGATATAATATTATAGACTGATACATATTTTAATAAGTACAGTTACACAGAAGAACCCAATGTTAAACCATAAATGTATAGAATTAATTCATAAAAAAACAAGAAAACGTCTTTAAAAACACACAGGGCATATATGAGATATGACAGTGCAACACTCATGAAATATTAAATGCAATCAGACAATTTATCATATGATACCAGGCCTTGATCCCTGAAAGAATGCAATGTTGAGAAAAAAGCACACGAGCAGGCATAACATTTAACATACTATATGCGACACTACACAAAACAGTTAGGGCCCTAACAAAGCACAACCCACCATTATGCAATGGAATCAAAGCACATCATCAAAGGAGGAAATAAATTAAAAAAATCTATGACGAACAATATACACCAACCAAAAAGCGCAGAATACGAAGGAAAAATAGCATGAAATTTGGCCAATATCGTTAACTGCAATCCTTGCAATGTAAAATAATTCTAATTAAACATTACATGCTACGTGTGTGACGTTTATTTCGAACAGTTTCGTCTTCCCTAACAACATTCAATTGAAATATATGTCAACAATGCCAAAATGAAAAACACTGCCCATGAAAATCTAGTCAATAAATCGCATTTTCATGCTAAATAAAACATAATGTACTGAACATATGCATGCAATAAAACCCGTAACGTACAGTACAACCAGCATACACACACTGAAACTGGAACACATTAAATATATTTTTCCTCTGGATTACACTTCTTACCCGTGTGACGCTGATTATTTCTGATGCTACAAACTATTTTCAAAATCGGTCTCTCTGCAAGTCCTTCGCAGCACCGTTCGTCTCTCTTTACCACTCTCTACGCGGTTTACGCTGTTTATGTCGGCAATAACCCCACTTCGTCAGTGTCCTCAAAATTCAATTATCATCAAGAAATCTCACGAGTTCACGACCAATCACGTCGTCTTCTAAAAAGATTACGTCATGAAATGAACCAATGCTGCCAACATTCTATCCAGGTAAATTCCTAATCACAGTTACCAACTAACTAATCAAGGCTGTGCCATAGCCCAAGCGGTTCGTCGCTGCTTTCCCAGCGCGGCGTTCCGGGTTCGATCCCGGGTCTGCTCAAATGGGATTTGTGGTGAACAAAATGGCGCTGGTTTTCTTTCCCCTGCCAATCTTCATTCCACCAATTGCTGCACAATCGCCCTCACCTATCATCTGGGGATGGTACAATAGGCCAGAAGTGGCTGCAGTACAAGGGGCCCTCTAGTAATAAAAAAATAACTAAGCAAGCAAACAACCAACCAGCCATTCAAATGACGAAACACGGTATTGATAAAATAACTGACCTGAGGAGGAGGAAGTAACTGGAGAAAATCACACAGTGAAACCTCGTGATTTGCACATATCACCAAATAGAGTTATGCCAACCAGTGGCGCATGTAGTGTGAATGGGTGAGATGAGAAACAAAATGTTAAGATGAAAGAATGTAAGGAAGTGGCCTCAACATAGATTGATATTACGACTGGCCTTAAGGAAATCCCATGAGAGAATGTGGGCTGGAATCATTTGACTCACGGTAAAGACTGGTGGTGCAGTCTTGTGAACGCTGCAACAAACTTCATTTTCATCAAAAGCATGCAATTTCCTTTCACCAAAAAGGCCAACAAATAATGGAACATGAGACATCCATGGGAAAGATAAATTTGTGCAAAATTTTGGTCAAAAAATATGGACAGAAGAGACTTTGTGAAAGATGGAGGTCTTGATGATAGAATATTAATGAACAAATACGATGGGAGAATAAACTGGAGCATCTGGGTCACAACAAGAACCAATATCAGGCTCTTGCAAAGACTGTGAAGAACCTTCAGGTTCAATAAATGTCAGGCAATTTCTTGAACAGATTAGTTAACTGTTTGGTTCTCATGAAAGTCTGTGCTCCTTGGAGTTGGGAACAATTGAAGGTGCAGTAAACTTATTGATAAAACTCTATAAACAATAACGAACATCAGAATATGCAAGACACAATGATTAGACATGGGAGGATCAAATAGTAGATGGGAACACCAGTTCTGAAAGTAGGAATAGACTCGTAGCATGAATGAGCTGGAAGAAAAGGTAATAATAAAAAGATGATAATAAAATTCATCTAACAAATAGCTGAATAGGGAACCTCACGAAATTAAACAAAATTTACACACCATACATTTGTATTCCATACTTCTCACTGCTTCACAAGAACACGGACCTGCATAAACAAATCATGTAACCCTCATGCACAGAACTAGGAACTAGTGAATACGCTTTTAATTTTGGGTGGAAAATTCTTATAGAACTTATTTTTTCCTTGTTCAACAGGCATTTTCACAATACATCATGTAGCTACCAGTGGGTTTGTAAAAATCATATTGATTCCTTGTGTAAACTTTACAAATCTGTAAGTCTGGTTGTAACAGTACTGTGTCAGCTGTACCATCAACTGACATGTGTACTGGGCCTTGCAGTAACTCCCAGTAAAATAATGCCAAAAATAACAGATGTCAAATTTATTTTGATCTGCTTTTCTGATTACAAAAGGAACTGTGTATATGATCAGAAGGCAACCAGTCTCATTACTCTTTAGTGATGTCTTTTTTTTCCTACATGCACACCCTGTTTCTTCTTCCTTCTCAGACATTTCCACTTTATGTGGGTCCCTCAATCTGTCTTCCCAAAGCTTTCCTCAGTTGCCTCGTCCTTCCTCCTCTCCTGACTTACTGTTCCCATCTTGACTTCAGTCTTCCTCATACAAAATCAGCACAGCAAGAGCACATCTTTATGAAAGCTACAGAAAGCCATAAATATTACTGTATTTAGGAAACACCAACCCTGTTACCAGAAGAGACTATTATAGACCCTAGGACAGTGCAACATACATCATCACCTTCCTTGCGATACCATTCCTATATTATCCTTCATACATACTTCATATTCAGCGCATCACAACTTGGCTCAGCCACTCACATCCCAGCTACCATGGTCACATTCCTACTGTCCCCATGACACTTGTGTCCTTGTTACAGAGGAATGGGAAAGTATGTTGGCCTGGACTTGAACCCATGAAAGTAGGAGAAAATGAAGTCTTCCAGGGATTTTCTCTTCAAAACAACCATATTTTTGTCCTTACCGATTTTCTCTTTGGCATAAAATTTTGAATATATATAGCGGGACAGACAGACAGATTTTTGGCATTCCCTTAAAGCAATGTACAAAAGTAATAAGAAATAAAAATGTGTACTGTATCTACCAATGGCAAAAAATACTTTGGGTTGTACCCACTAACCTACATAATGAGTTTCTCCCTTTATCCTAACATTGATCTCACAATTCCTTTCTCAGAGAGGAAGAGGGGAAAAATTTGGCTTGAAGTGAACCCATGAATGTTTCAACATGTCTAAAACCTCCCCATGGGCAGTTTTCTACCATTATGCATTGAGTGAAAACGGCTGCAACAATGTGAAAAGTATTAAAAAAGTACACACTGTTCTCTCTGTATATAGAGTTACTACACTTCACACAATAAATTAAATGAATAATAAATATTAAGAAATTAAATAATAAAATAGTGGTGGTTGTGGTGGTAGTGGTAGTAATAGTAGCAGAATAATTGTTTCATTCACCCGAAAGGGATAGAATCCACGGTAGAAACATAAAGTTGTCCCTCTGCTTTTTAAGCATCATGCCACATTTGCTGGAGACAAAACTGTAATGACATCCAAAACCAGTTTACAGGTTCCTGATAACCAAAGCAGTGCATAGTTTTTGTAACAACTATTTACATAGTTCGTTGAGGCACTATGCTACAAGCCAGAAGGTTATGAGTTTGAGTCCTGGTGAGGTGGATTCCCCCCCCCCAATTTACATGATCCTTCTAGCTGCACTATGGCCCTGGGGTCGACTCAGCCTCTAACAGAAATGAGTACCAGGATTCTTCCTGGGGTAAAGGATAGCTGGCATGTAAGCCTGACAACCTTACAACCATCTGTGAGCCAACTGTCTAGAAAATGTGGAGGCCTCGACGTGTCACAACCTTACAGGACTCCATGGCCTGTTACAGGAATAGCTTTACCTTTACCTCATTACACTTAGTGTTATGTGTATATAATTTTGCACGAGTATATACCTTCATTGCCTTTTAGGCCTTATGCAACAGTTTTCATAAATGAATCCTCTAACCTTCAATTTCCAGCAAGGTCTCGGCCTTAAAAACCCAAGCGTTCATCAAGAACACAATTTTCACAGCTTACAAGGGACTGCTGCATTAAACAAAAGAAAAGAGTCTGACTTGTAAAATGTTTTAATCTTCTATACCACATATATACATCATACCTCTGAAGCAGAACTTCAGACAGTGGCACAGAAGTGGCCAACAGGTCAAAGTCAAACAATTTCAGCACTTAGAAAAACAAAAGTAATGCCCTTTAAATGAAAGCATCCTATATGATAGAAAATTACTGTTACAGATAAATCAAGCAAACAAGTAAATCGCTTCACCTACAATATAAAATTTCAATATCTGAGAATGCATTTCAGAAATAACACCAAACAAATTTAATTAACACTGTGCAGAAATCAGAGGAGAGAGACAAGATACACAGACAAACTTGCATGCAGCTGTGGCCATCCCAACATAACACAGAGCTGACAGAGAAGCAGCAACTACTGAACTGCAATGTACCTGGATATACGTACATTAAACACTAAAACCAGGAACACAAGGATTAGAAAGTTTAAGTGAACCAATTAAATTAGGAAGAACTGGCTGTGCATGCAACAGTGGACTATGTCATTCCAGCACTAGGCAATGGCCGTTACTATGCAATGGCCTGTAAAACACAACAGAGGAAAAGTGTTTTCCGTGTGGTCCATGCCGAGATGTTATAAGCAGGATGGTTAGTAAAGTGAAGTGAAGTGAACTTCAATGGAGTTGAGTGACGTGAAGAAGTTGGTTGGTGAGCGAGTGAGTGAGTTAGAGAAGTGCTGAAGTTCAGTTCTTGTGAGCTGTTGCTGTTAGAAGCCAGCAGCTGAGGCCAGGGATAGTTCTGAAACCCAGAGGAAGAAAACATCCACCGTTGGAAGCCGCTACTGAGCGATGGCTAGGGAAGACTGAGAAGACTTTCTATGTGCTGTGGTTACAGTGAGCTTTGGAGTGTGTAACTCAGTCAGACTGTCATAATTACTTGTAGTCACGAATCTGCAAGAGTTCAGTAAATCAAATTAGCAATCCCAACCCCATAAACAGTCACACTCAATCATATGACAATATAAACATGAACAGCTTTCAAGGTACTGAGATCACAGTCTCATTTCTCAACTCCTCCACATCTCGCTGAAGCAGTTACGCTTTGCCTCTGGTCATCTAGCCATTTGGTTCCCACAGTGGACAAGGAGGGAAATGACCAGCTGGCATCGAGTGTCATCATTGCAAACATCCTTGGGACTTCCTTCTGCAGTCTCAGTACAGTTAATCATAAAATAAATTAATTACACTACACAGAAATACAATATTTCACTTTCTGAGTGATGGCCCTGCAAGTAGCAGTTCTTAATGCTGAGAACAGCAGACAGACGTCACGAGCAAATGGCGCCTCTAGGGCATGTTTCAGTCATCACACTTTCTTTCTTAAGAACAAATTTGCCTGCTTACCTGGAGTTGTGATTTATTTCCACAGTTTCATAAGTTCAGCTTTAAAAGTCTCCAGCTCATCCTTTAAGGTTTCATTTTTGCTCACAGGATTGTCTACATCTTTGTAAATAACAGTGCCATGAACATGGAAGATGCTTCCTCTGGAAATTAAAGAAGTCAGAATCAGGTATGAACTACCACCCAGGACGCAACTTGCCTATATAGAAGCTGAGCAAACTGGCTCAAACAGACAACTCAGGAGCAACACTGCTTGAGTCAACAGCCTCAGTTGCTGACATGCTTCTAAATCTACTGCCACTATTATCCCTGACATATTTGTAAGGCAGATGGTTCAGATCTCAGGCAATGAATGAACAGCCATTACATAATGCTCAGAGAGAGACAAAGTGCATGTAAGACAACAACCCTGGTAACTGATTATAACAAAACCAAAATTCTACACGCTAGAGTAGCTAATGTTGTGGTGAATATTCCCCGAGATTTAACGTAAACTGATTATGTCAGAGACAATTCATAATTTTGATTCCACAGTGTATATTCATGTATAAAGATTATGAATCATTTTCCTGTTCTGAGTGTACGATGGTCAATCAGCTCTTTGAAGCCTCAAGTTCACAGAAATAATATTTTAAAATTCAATCCCTATGTGTAAGTAAACACACTGCACCTCCATAACAAAAGATCAACTGATGGATTCTGTTTGAGAAATAATCACTGCTTGCTGTGAGAATCATATGCAATACATATACAAACTGTGTGGGCAAAACACAGACTTTCTGAATGATGAAGCAGCTGGTACACATAGTAGCCACTGTGCTTTAAAGGGTTAAATTAATTAAATTCACTTTAAGATTTACTCTATCTCATGATCATTTATAAGGGGTGGGCCTTCTCGCCCTTGAACCGCAACCTACAGTGGCCTATTGTGCTTTGATCCCCATGAATGTAGCTCACAGACTCCAAAACAAAAGTTAAATATGAGATTCAACAACAAAAATAACAGAAGACTGATGAGAAGTACGTGGGTTTGTAGGATACAGCAGTAAATCAAACTTACTCAGGAACTGGAAAAACAGGCACATCGCTCCATTCTATTTCTCTTGCCTCACTCAATTTGTTCTTGTCATAGAAGTAGATATTATTGAATGGGTTTTTCTTTTCTGCAGTCCCTCTAACTGCATCCTCCATCTCAACACCCATGTCCAGTTTTGTCATTACTACCTTGAACTGTTCAAATTTACAGTATGTCATACGTTCACATATTTGTTTGATGTCCTTTTCAACTCCAAGCTTACATTCTTTTATTCTTTCTTTGACTTCCTTATCAATTTCCGCGACACTGGAGCATGTTTCAATTGCTTTTTCCTGAGAAGAAAACGAACTGATTATCACAATATCAATGGAAACAATGAGCTTATAGCTTAATAAAAAATGTAGCATCATAAGTTGTTGTCTGGTATGTAATTTCAAGAGGAAACATACAAAATACATTCTTCATGATTTTGCATACATCAGTGGTTTTAATGTTCTGTTCCACAAAACCTATTTGTTCCTACATTAAACAAAAGCAAAGAAATGGCATGCAAAGACATAAATTCAGCTCTACACAAACCAATTATTTTCCTTTCATCACTGCTGGTTTGAAATGTCCGCAGTGCTGCAGCTGTACCCGGTGCTGCCTACCAGGGTAATATGTTTTATGTATGTGCAATGTTTGTGGTCACAATAAAAACATCACTGGCTCCCACATCATGGGATCCCATTTGCTGTGGACAGGGTTAAAACTGCATCCAAAACCAGTTTTACAGCTTCCAAATTACCATTTCAATGCATCCTTTTATGTCATGCTTAATTTCTTCAAGACCACATAATTATTTTTAAAGACTTTATGTAAGGAATGAGAGAAGGGGCAACTCATGCATTAATGGGTCTTAACACTGGCCATGATATCCCTAACCTAAATTTTATCTTACCAACTGGGCTGCTTTTCATGACCATAATCCACATGGCTGGCAAGGGACTGTTATATAAATGTATATGTACACCATATTAATAAATATTTGATATGAGCCTGCAGATTCAAATGCTGGTACAGTCACCTCTGTTTATGAACAGTGGTAAGCTGGATTTTAATTTCACATAAAGCAGGGGTAATATTTAACTGCTTCTTAGAACCACAATAAATTTTTGGTGTAGACAAGGAATACCAAACCTCACAGAAATAAAAGTTGGGTAGTTTTGGGAATGAAATAGGTGGGTGCTTGTTCAAAGAAAATGCAAGTACAAATCGGTATTTGTTCCAGACATAAATGGACAGCAGAAGGAAATGGGGATACTCAGTTTCAAAGTGCAGGCTAGCACTGAGATGAGAAGCCAAATATTATATTGGTGCATCAGCTGTGAGTCTGGGCAGGATGCAATTCATTTGATCTGTATTTAAAGACAGGGAAGACAGGTGTACTCCAACGGTATATACACGCATACTTTCTTAAATTTTTCTTTATAAATTTACATATCTCAAAGGTCTTAATGGCCATTTATTGCGAATACAAATCAACATCTTCACGTTTCAATCTTACACATCTTGTGCTGCGCTCTTGTAATAGAAACAGGTACCAAAATTTCATAATATAGAAGAACTAAACACACAAGCCTGCTACTGACGATGTTAATTATGCACAGAGATAAAAATGTACCAACCGATACCGTCCATTTGTTTGACTCAAACGTTATCAGTGAAATTTAAGTTGCACACTTTTTTTTTAAGATTATCCCACAGTGAAAGTTTGACTGCACCAGCTATCGTTCCAACTTTAATTGCTGTAACTGCTTCAAAATGTAGACCTCTATCCTTCCCTTGAAAATGTCAGAATTTATTTCAGGTCCCACTGCATTTGCCATTAATTAATATATCATCATGATGTTATATTTTAGCGTCCTGTTGCACTGATTTAAGTCCATGATTTATTTAATCCGTCTTGCAGTGCATACATTCATTTATCTCCTTCTTTCCCTCGCACTACATGTTTCGGCATAATAATGCCATCTTCAGGTGCTTACTTGTCCACGTCAAACCAGTTCATTGCATGCCATGTTCACACATTAAAATAACTAAAATATGTATCTATCATATACATTGTCAAACGTTAAAA